CCCAAATTATCTTTTTACGTATTTGTTGTGTATCTACAGATCGTATTTATATACTTAGTATTACCATTTCATAAACTACTCTAGCCAGTTCGCTGGCTTGCTCTTTGCCAGTGGCTGTCCTGTTGCCCCCTCCCCTCAGCCTGTGGGCTCAGCCGCTGTGTTGATTCTACTTCCCCAAGAAGGGAAGGGAAGATGGGAAGTGCAGAGTGGATTTCTTTTTCTCCAGTCCTGCATATTCACAGTGACACTTAGGAAGCATTGTGTGGATCGGATGTAAACAGTGCACTATACAAAAGAAGTGAAAGGAGAACAGAAAGTCTGGGTAATGGGCTCCTTTGAGCATTGTGGTAGTGGCCCAGTGAGTAGGTGTACAGCACAGCTCGAGGGACTCAACCAGAGGGAAAAGATAGTAGTCATGGGAGGAGAGAAGAGAGAATCGGGAGTAAATCTGAGCCTTCCAATAGCTCTTGTAACAGAAATTCAAAGAAGAAAGCAGGGCAGCTGGGAGAAAAGCAGTAGCCAAAGAAACCACACCACCTTAACCTTTTCCTGGAAAGAGTATGCCGAACCTCACTTCCTTTCCTGGAGACCAGGCAGCACTAGGGCGCTGTGCTCCTGCCTCACAATGAATGTGGGTTGGAAGGGGCTCCAGGGGTCCTTTGAGTAGACGCAGACTGCTCAGCATTAACAACTGTGAGATTCATTATATAGAGATCTTTGTTGCAATTAACGTAAGTGACATTTGAATCAGATTGGAGGAAACAGAATGTTTTTTTAGGACACTCCAGTATCTGACCAAATTTGTACTGCCACCCAACCAGGCCTTAGGGGAAAAGTTAGTCAGGGACTAGATTAGAATGCTGTAGGAAACTGACAAGTCATCTTCATTTATTGGGGTTTTATTTCCTTGTATAATGCTATGTTTTGTGAATTTAGGGTTATTTTTTAAAGATTTTATTTATTTATTTTTAGAGAGGGGGAAGGGAAGGAGAGAGAGGGAAAAATGTCAGTGTATGGTTGCCTTTCACATGCCCCCTCCTGGGGACCTGGGTCGCAACCCAGGCATGTGCCCAGACTGGGAGTGGAACCAGTGACCCTTCGGTTTGTAGGCCCATGCTCAATCTACTGAGCTACAGCAGCCAGGGTAGGTTTTTAATTTTATTAGTTATACATGAATGTAGTTTAGAGAGATAGCTCGATATACAAGATTTGTTACGATAGACCCAGCCCCACTCATTCCCCCTTCCCAACAGACAGTGCTTTTAATTGTTTGCCCAGTGTGTGTTTCATAATGAACTTACATGTTGTTAAAGAATAGACTCGTGTGGCTACTTTTGATTTTCATTTTTGGGCTTGTCATTTGATTTCTGACTTAGGAAGGTGAGAATCGAGCTCCCTTTCTGCCCTTTGTCCCACTCCATCTGGCAGGCAGCTTTTCTCTGCCCCCCGGGTGTTCGGTGTGGTTAAGATTTCAGGTAGGGCACTAAGGCAGCTGACCTAACTATCTGTGATTCACAGCTAAGCTCTCAAGTAAATTATGATCACTTTTCCTTTCCTTTGTTTTTTTGTTTCCCCTGGTATTGATTATATCCTTAATCCAGATTACTCATCTTAAAAATGTTAAGAACTGCTTACTCTATGCTGAGGGCTGGATTAAACATTGTGTCTCTTCCTATTTAATCCTGACAGCAAACCAGTTTTGTGTCCTCCCAGTGTTTGTTTCCTTATCTGTGCAGTTAGAAATAGCTCTGAAGCAAGTAAATTTGCCTGAGGTCACTCTGCCAAAAAGTGGAGGAACAGGAATTTGAATCCAGCTGTGTGTGACTCTGCAGTCTGAGGTCCCTGAAATGTTTCCGGCATAGGACTTTAAGTTACAGATGGCATCTGGAAGCAAGGTGGGAAAGATGAGATCCACTAGAACTTGAAACAGAATGGAAAAAGGAAGAATCACTTTTACAAAAAAATCATGATTTAAATGCATGATAGAAAGCAGCTACATATACTTGCTTGCACTTCTGTGAGGGTTAAGTATAAATATACTTTTAATGCTTAGCAGATAATTCTGATGTTTTCTTCTTAGGGGAAAAATTCCCTCCTGAGTCTTCAGCTCTACTCTAATCTGGCACTCACCTGCCTTCTTAGATTCTCTTTACCTTTGCTCTTCGCCCCACATTGTCCTCTGCTGATTTATCCATGATTTCGGTGGAACATGTTCATATCCTCCAATACCCACCCACCCTACCCCACCCCCGGAGCAAGGATGTCTGGGAAGTAAGTTTATAGAGATTTTGCAGATTTGGAAATACGTATTTTACTATCACTATTGGCTGATAGTTCGTGTAGAGGTTTGTTTTTTTTTTTTAAGATTTTATTTATTTATCTTTAGAGGGGAAGGGAAGGAGAGAGGGAGAGAAACATCAATGGATGGTTGCCTTTTGTGCATCCCCTGCTGGGAACTGACTGGCCTGCAGGGAATCGGCCTGCAACCCAGGCATGTGCCCTGACTGGGAATCGAACCTCGATTGTCTGGTTCACCGGCCTGCGCTCAATCCACAGAGCTACACCAGCCAGGTTGTGTAGAGTTTTACTTGGAATTCATTTGTCTTCAGAATTTTGAATGCGTGCTTTCAGTCTCTACATTTCTCGTTTTCTAAATTGCTGTTTAAGTCCAAAGCAATTCTGATTCCACATTCTTTGTATATGACTTGTATCCTTGTCTATTTCTTTCAGGATACTTAGAGGCTCTTTACTTTGTCTCTGATATTCTGAAATTTTTACAATAATGTGTCATGGTTTGGATCCTATTTGTATCTGAGTGTCAGGCCCTTTAATTTGGAAACTTCTGGCTTCGTTTCTGGGATTTTTTTTTTCTTGAATGTCAGTATTTTGATTATCTCTACATCTTTTCTATTATTCTCTCTCTTTGGAATTCTTATCATTGGGCATGTGGGACCTCTTACCCTAGCACTTTGTTTTTATTTTTCTTTATCCTTTTCCATGTCTGTGGTTTGTTTTATTTTTTTAAAGATTTTTATATATTTATTTTTAGAGCGAGGGGAAGGGAAGGAGAAAGAGGGGGAGAGAAATATCGATGTGTGGTTGCCTCTCATGCATCCCCTGTTGAGGACTTGGCTGGCAACCCAGGCATGTGCTCTGACTGGGAATTAAACCAGCGAGCAACCCAAGCCCATGCTCAATCCACTGAGCTGCACCAGCCAGGTGTGTGATATGTTTTCTTTTGGGGGACAGTTTTTTTCAACTTTATCATCAGATCTTTTGTTTCCTGTTTTTAATTAATGATAATAATTTTACATAGATGTAATTTATATACCATAACAGCCATCCTTTTAATGTGTATAATTCGGTGGTTTTAGCATGTTCACAGTTATCTTGTCACCACTATGTAATTGTGAAATAGGTGCATCAACACACCCCTATGTCCTTGCCGAGAAACTTCTTAAATGTTGGGTGGTGCAAAAGTAGGTTTACAGTCGTGGGTACGTGAACACAAAGTTTATTCTTGTATTATTATTTATTAATCATTGTATTTTTCACACAAACAACTAAACCTACTTCTGCCCCACCCTGCGTTAGCAGTCATTCTCTGTCCTCCATTACCCGCCACCCCCACATCCCCCCACGACCACTAATCTGTCTTTGGATTTGCCTGTTACCAACAATTTATGTGAATGGAATCATACAGTGTATAACCTTTTGTGTCTGGTTTCTTTCACTTAGCATAATGTTTTCAAGGTTCATCCGTGTGGTAGCAGGTGTCATTCATTCTTTTTCATTGCCCAGTAATCACACTGTATGTCTGTATGCCATCTTGTTTATTCATTCTTCAGTTGACGGACGTTGGGTTTATTTTTACTTTCTGGCTAGTGTGAATAATACTGCTATAAATAAGAGTGTACGAGTTTGGCCTGGACATGTGTTTTCAATTCTCTTGGGTATATACCTAGGAGTGAAATTGCTAGATCATATGGTTAACTCTGTTTAACATTTTGAGGAACTGCCAAACTATTTTCCATAGCAGCTGCACCATTTTATACTCCCCCAGTAATGTATGAGGGTTCCAATTTCTCTGCATCCTCTCCAGCACTTGTTATTGCCTGTCATTTTGATTTTAGCCATGCTAGTGGATGTTTACAGTCTTAATTTAAAGAGCTTTCTCTTTCAATTTCTAAGAGCTCTGATTATTTCTTTTAAAAACAGCTTCTTGTTTCACAAATTTAATTTATCTCAAATCGTATTAATTTTTTCAAAGCTTTCTTCTTAGCTTTTGCTTACTCCAAGTTTTTTTGGCCTCTCGTGTTATAAATTTTTCTCTGAGCTTTATTGCATAGGCCGGGGTGGGCCATTTATGGATTAAGTAATATCTGACGTCAGTACCATTAGATCCTATCTTCAGACTGGTTAGAGTTCCTCAGATCCTCAGAGAAAGTGTTTCTAGTCTCTGCCTGGAGGACGTAAAGATTGGGTGCCACCGTCTGGGTTCTTAATGGGGAGAAGAAGCCGGCAGCCAGTGTGCATAGGTGTTCCCAGTGCCTCTGTTACTGCTCAGGTCCACCTGCTCCAGGTGTTCACGGTGTTCCAGGAAGAGAATTCTTCAAAAAGCAAAGCTCCTGCTAGATGGGGGAGGGCCAGTGTCTGTGAGGCGTGGCTGGGAGGGACCCGGTGTCCCTGATTTCCAAGTTTGCTGATGTTATGCAGTGTAAACTGGGTGCGCTGCACTGAAATCGGGTGCATACTGCACATCTGTACAGCTGCTCTGCTGTTGAGTTCATCATTCAGACAAAAGAGATTCATAGAGATTCATAGAGACAATGTGGGCTCAGCATATGGCTCTGTGTTACACACAATGGCAGTAATATTGACAGATTTCTGTGTTTAAGTACAGTAAGCAAATGTTTATAATAAATGACATGTTACAGTAAAATCATAAAGTAATTTGCATGAAAACAAGTACCTGACTGTTGTGTTTTTTTTTCTTTCAGAATTTAAATGAATATGTTGAAGCATTAATTACCTTGAAGCAAAAAATTATTAACACAGAGTGAGTATGTTTCATGTGTTTGGCTGAGCTGTGTGGGCCTGGCAGACAGGCTGAGTGGAGGCACTGTCAGACTCTGGGTCTGGACGGCGAGCTGGGCTTTCTCTTCCCAGCCTGCGTGGTGGTGGTGGGATTGTAATGCCACTGCTTTCCTCGTTGTTGACCTTCTGTTAGTGGCTTCTACAAGACTCATGGCTTAGGAAATGATTTTTTGCTAAACTGGACATTTTATAAAAGCTGTTTTCTGTCTTTCAAAGCCTTCTTAGCTTTAGGACAGGGCCTCAGATTTCCTCCTAGTATTTCACAGCTGTAGTGTGAGGTTTAATTTTATTTTAATTCTGTAAAAGTCACATAATTTATAGGCTCAGATGTTAGATCAGAGGGATTTTAAGTGAAAAGCTCATATATCAGTGCACTGTTCTTAAGGAATTTAGGGTAATGCGTGTATATATAATTAAACATAAATTCATTACATAGGAAGAAAGGTACCATGCATATTTTAAAACAGTTTTAACATAATATAACAATTCTTTCTTTTGTTGTTGCAGTAATTTGTTAACAGAATATCAGAAGAAATGTGATGATATCCTTTTATTGTTTTTTTCTTTGAATTTTTAAATTTACTTAATTTATGATTTTTTTAAAGAAATGTGAGGTATAGATACTGTCTTTTGGAGGGCACTGTTTACAGGCTTAAAGTAGGAAGTATTTCTAACAAGCATAGTAAACAGCTGGTGTTTTACTGTTATTACATGTTTTTTGATAAAGACTGCTGGTCTCCTTATTTTAGCATTTATTTTATTTTTGTTACTGATTTCGGTTTTCTTACGGTGTCATAAGCTTTTTACTGAGTAGGTCTTTACCACTTGTACCAAGTGCATGCCAAGTGCTCTTAGGCTCACAGTCACCCTCTGCTCGGGCACCTGTAGAGCACCTGTGGCGTAGTTGGCCTCTGGTTAAATAATTCCTTGGCAGTGTGAAAATAGTGTGTAGAATCGATCCTTCCTCATCTTGCGTGAGGACACTTACCCTGAATTATTTCTCTCCCATAAAAATAAAATTTCTTTCATAAAAACACACACGTATTGTCAGAAGGTCACTGAAGTATAGCTTCAGCTCCAGTGTTGGGCAGGTTCTGCTGTTCACCTTTGACAGTCCCTCGAGGCCAGTTTCAGTATTGCTTCTGGTACCCTGAAAGCATGTGTCTGTGTTGTTGCCGTCATCCTGCTTTATGTGATGAGGGAGTAAAATCAAGGCATGATATTGAGATCTGCTTTTCATGTTTGAATTTTTTTTTACATTAAGAAATATGTCATTGAAATTTCTTGTGCCTTATTTGTTGAAACTCTCAACGTGTTTACCTACAAATGTGTATTACTGCAAGAGTAATATCTTTGCTTATAAAAACTGCACAGAAAGTTATTAAAAATACTTCTAATTAGCTACATAGGAAAACAGGCAATTACTTCTGTGTACTGACCACATTGCCACTGAGATGCTCATTGCTGTATGTGTTTATTATGTCATTTTTGGAAGAAGTGGCATAATCTTTTTGAGGTAAATTACACAAGTAAGCAGAAAAATCACTTTTCTAAAATTTGCAGAATTTTAAAATCAGAATTGTTAGAATAAGTTATTAAATTTGGTAAAACTCTAAATTCTTGAATTTCCTTTCTGTGATGTGGTACTCTGCTTCTGTCTCAACTGTGGGAAGGTATGGATTTAAAAATATATATATATTTGGCATTCACCCAAAATATGTATTTGTTGAACCTCAAGTATGTAGTAATTTGTTGCACACCTTGAAATACTAGTGTTGCAGAGTTAGTTTAGCTTTCTACCTTGATTTCTTACTCTTTTGTATAATTCTGACCATTTCTTTGTTTATTCCTCTTTCTAGAGGGCAGAGTATATTTCATATCATAAGATGTTTTTTGAGCTTTTCTTTCTTGCAAAGGCTGCAGTAGTTTAGGATGAATACAATATACTCCTTAATCTTGAGAAGCTTGCATTCTACTGGAGAAGAGGATGCAGACTTATTACAAACACATATTTGCTATATTGGAATACGAGCAGGAGTTTATAGGAGATGAAAACTTGAAGGAATTATTTTTTTCTATGAGCAAGAAATACTGGCAGCTCGAGGTGGGAAATGAAGTTTTCACGTTGTGTAAATTGTAAAAGTGAGGGGTTTTGTAGATTTTGCTGTCCTCCCTCTCTTTATTACTCATTGAATGTAGTTTCATAGCATTTTAGTAAGAACTTAACTCTTTGATGGAATTAAGGTCTGGACTCTTTGGGAAGTGAGGACAGGTTGTTTGGGGTTCGAGGTATTTTTTATTAGTTTCATACTGTCTTTATTCTTACAATTTAATTTTTGTATAATTTTTAAAAATAATCAATTTATTTGTAGAGGGAGGGGGAGGGAGGAAGAAAGAGGGAGGGAAATACTGATGTGAAAAAGAAACATTAGTCGGTTGCTTCCCTTAGGTCCCCTGACCAGGGACCAAACCTGAACCCTAGCTGTGGGCCCTGACCAGGAACCGAACCAGGGTGACCTTTGGCTTTGCAGGGTGACACCCAACCAACTGAGCCACACCGGTCAGGGCTTTGAATTTAATATTAACCATATATTTAATCAGATACCTTTTTAATTTAAAGAAAATATTTTGACTCTTGGTACATGTTATGAATAGGAGTAACAGTAAAACTCTTTATCACAGTTACATGTATGTTGTAGATGAAACTTTGAATATTGTATTTTAGGAATTATGATTTGCCTATATGTACATCAAATACTCATTATTTTTAAGTGAGTTTTGTCATCAGCCAAGTATCACTAGATAAAATTATCAGAGTTTTCTTTAACAAGTTTTACAGCTGCAGTTTGCCAGAAGGTAAGCTGTTTTCATTGTTTTTTGGGGTTTTTTTTAAAAGAAGGAAAGGCTCCCCAGCCTTCTTTTTTTTTTTTTTTTTTTAAGATTTTACTTATTTATTTTTAGAGAGGGGGGAGGGAAGGAGAAAGATAGAGAGAAACATCAATGTGTGGTTGCCTCTCACGTGGCTCCCACTGGGGACCTGGCCCGCAACCCAGGCATGTGCCCTGACTAGGAATAGAACTGGTGACCCTTTGGTTCTCAGCCCACGCTCAATCCACTGAGCTACACCAGCCAGGCTATTTTCATTGTTGATTTGGGCGAGACATTCATCAGCCTAGATTTTTAAGCAGATTCGAACAAAGTGCTATATGATTGATGCGTTATTTGAAATGTTGCTTTGATGATTATGATAAAAGAAGATTCATGTTTTCTTCACTATTGTCCAGATGAAGGTCTTAAATTATCGCCTGGTTTGACCTTTCAGTAACTCTTACTGATTGAGTTGCCATTGAGATGAAGCTTATTACTATATAATTATTGTCATCTACATGAATTGGACTGTTTAATGGGGTTATCTTGTGTATTTGAAACAATTTAAAATAGAATGTTGTAAAAATTTAGCAGTATTTCATACTCTGTTGATTTGATCACTTAGAAGACAAAAAACCATGGCTATCAACTGAACCACAAAATCGCCTGTCATTTAACTTGAATAAATGGGGATGAGTTCAGTATTGGAACAGCCAACTTGCTTGGCGGATTGCCCTTTAATACATTCTCCAGCAGGTTGAGAATCCACTGTTTTCTGCTTCTCAAGTGGCTTTTTGATGTACTTTTATTAGAACTAGACTACAGTGCCAGAGAAATAAAAAGCAACATGAGGGTCATTTTGATATTAATAGAAAGAGTACATTTAAAAAGAGAGAGTCTTTTATTCTTTTTTTGTTTCAATTTAGAAAATAATTAAAAATCACCAATGGATATATTTAATAATCCATGCATTGTCCGTTTTTAGAGAGAACAGTACTCTGCATCACCAGGTGGAACAAATGCTTCAGAAAATTTCTCCTCTGCAGAAATGTCAGGAAGAATTGGGGTCTTTAAAAGCTGAACTAGAAGAGAAAAAGGTACCTGAAGTAATTTTTCTCCAAAGCTTTGTCTTCAATTAATTAAGAGCTTCTAATTCATTCTTTAAGTTTGTTATTGTACTTAGTAAACATTGAACTAGCTGATTTATGGCTTGGTCCTCGTAGTCATCATTAAATGTGTAATTCTGTGTTTATTGTTATGTTTTTGAAAGGGGTTCTAGCTGTGAACTTGTGGCTCCATGTGTCTTGCATTGCCTTTTCATTTTTTTCTTTATGTAAAATAACATGCAAAAAATTGAAGATAGCAAAATCATGTTTTCCATTTCAAGAAATAGATTGCACTAAGTTTATTTAAAATGGTATAAGCTTGTTTTTCTCCATACATTGTAGTTTCCTCTTTATAGGAGTCTTATAGGAGAATTCATGGCTCTTACATTTAAGAAAAATAGAAAGCAATAAAGTGAGGGGGTTTGCCTGAGACGAGCTATAGCCAAGCTGGGATGAGTCTGGGCTTCTCTACCTGTTTTCTCAGCTCGTCACAGGTAGTATTGTGCCTCTGAGCCTTCAAATTGTGGCATTTTAGCAATGCCACATACCCATCTGAGGTCTTACGTACTTTAACAGTGATTGATTTTCTTCTTTATTATATATTTGATTATGCAGTGAAAGTTTTTAAAAAAAGACAACTGCGATGTTGAAGTTTGTCTCCCTCCTCTTATATAACACTCTCATCAGCCCTGTCTGAGAGGAAGCAGGAACTGGAGTCAGAACTGAATGATATGATAAGCCCTCCTCACCCACTCACCCACTCACTCACTGTGACTTTGGAAGTCAGTCATCTTATGCACCCTCAGAATTCTCATCTGTGAAAGAGGTCATAGAGCCCGTCTCAGCTATGGTGATGAAAGAAATGAGTATCATATATACATTATATTATGATATAAAGCTAGTCAATAACCATTTCTTTCTCCTTACAGTGTAGCCATCAGGGTGTATATATTGACTGATGTTAACACATTTTTCCCAGTTACTGTTGAGTATAACAACATATTTTATAGTTTTGTATAGTAGTAACAGTTTTTTATAGTAGTAAACAGTTGTTTATATTAAGCTCTAAAACTTCTTTAGGTTTTGTTGCATTTTGGTTGAGGTAAACATTAGCTATTCAATATTATGAAGATTTCGGATTGCCTTAAGATTAATATATTTTCAGTTTTATAGTTTTGATTAGATTATTAAGTACACTAATAAGGATCTGCTTCTATCCTTTAAAATGTCCAATGAATTGTACTTTGGTTTCCTAACATATTCATTTGGTTAATTTCATACCTTGAAATGATAATTTAGCTTTTCAAGCTCAAAGTAAGTTATTTTGGTGGTCATGACTTTCAAATTGACAGTGTATATCGATTTCTTTTTTTTAGAGTTCCCTAAAGTTGTATCAGGATACTCATCAGGAATATGCTCGTGTGAAAGAAGAATGCTTGAAAACTGATGCTCAGTAAGTAGTTTACAAATGACTGGAAATCGGGATTTGATCTTTGGAAATTTTTAAATGAGTGTTTCTCTTCTGCCTTTGGGTTTGTTGGCTGTCATTAACTTTGTGTTACCTTAAGCGTGGTCTCAGCATCTGTGTCCACATCTGCCAAATGGACATTATAATTATTGTAAAGGGTTATAAGGAGGGTTAAATAAGCCATCCCATGGCAAAGGGCTACACAGAGAAAGAACTCTGGAAACGTGTTTATGTCTGCGTGTGGTATGTTTGCTTCTGTGTCCGTGAGTATAAACATTATCCACTCCTTTCCTCGTGCTAGCACTTGAATAGGTGTCACGTGGAATGGGCGTCTTTGTTACCATTCATAGAAATGGCTGTTCAGAAGCATCCATTTGATGATTTTAAGTTTAATACCGTATTCAAATTATCCAACAAACTTGTGAGCTAAACGTAAAGTAGTTTAATGTTGACGTAGCAGTAACTCAGAGATTCTTTCTCAGAGACTTACCTCCCTTCTCCGATTCAAATTCATCCTAAAATGAGCCCATGTCCCCAGCCACGCCTCTCCCACAGTGAGCACTCCTGCTGTCCGTGCCCAGAAGTCATGTCCTTGGTTAGAGGCTGCACCAATTCTAGGGACTGTCCGACACGTCAGTTCAGTGGATAGATGAGACCACTGTGGTTCAGAGAGAAGAATACAGATTTCTTTAATCCACTTTGGAACTGTTACACACTGAACGGCGTACTGGTTTTTCTTCGGTTTGATCTGCCTTCAGAACAGTCATTGGTAATTTTGGTGATTGATGGGTGATACATTTTGTGACTGACATTTAATTTGTTATATAAATCTCAGTGATTAAAAATTAAATGTAGCACAAATTGTAGTGTATATATCTTTTTCTGCTACATATTTTTTTTTTACCATTTTAAAATACAAAATTTTATTTCAGGAAGAAGAAACTAGAAGCCAAGGTGAAAAAGCTGGAAGGTAATTGGCACTCTTGTTGTCTAGCTGCTCACAGTAACTAGAAGAGGTTGTAGTACTTGGTTAAGCAGTTGAGTCGTCATGGTTTCTCCGATGGTGCATCCCCCGGGTGACATCATTAAGGGCACCCTCAGGGAAGAAGTTTGAATACCATATTCCTTTCAGTTACTGGATAGTAGCATGAATGTGGAATGTGGCAAGTCCTTGACATGTTGTTGTACTCAATATAATAGCAGCCTATTGGGTTGCTATTAGGTCATGCATGTTGGGTTCTCGCCTGACTAGAGGGTTTGGGTTGGCTTGTGCTGGTTTACTTTTACTGTAAAGGGCAGTGATTAATACAAGAATTTTAATTTTGAAATTTGAGTCTCATGGGGCTTTCTCATTTTTTCCTAATGAAATCAGTGGTTAATAGAGAAGGTCACTACTTTTAGTCCCAAGAAACTTGAGGTATGTAGGTAGTTATGGCAACATCCATGGAGAGATGTCCATGAAGTTCCCTGCTTTGATGATTGTCACTTTGTCCTTGGCAGGCAGAGTGCAGAGGCGCCATGTGAGGATCTGGTCAGTTCTCCTGGGGTAGCTAATAATTCCTGAAAGGAATTGAACGCGGAATCTTTTCTTCTGTTTTCTTTTCTCACTGGGGTGGTTGGGACTGGAAATAAAGTCTCATCCAGGAGAGACGAGGAGCGCTCGGTCAGGCCCATCCCCGGTGCGCATGTCTTTCATCCCCACATGGGCGCTAGCAGTCCTCTTAACCTTCTGTGGCTTACTGTCCCCCTGTTTGCTCTTTCCTCATGCTTAACAGGGCTCTGCCTCAGAGAATGGAGGGGTTCTCATTTAGAGTATGAAGTGAGGGTTTAAGTGTAGTTGGATCTTGGCATGAAGATAAAGAAAATAGTCATCAGTTTACCTGGATTGAACCTGATTTTTTTTAGGCCATAACTCTATAAATATTTTGGTAACAATTTTTTTCTTTGATTTGCTTGTTGCACAAACAGTAGTGTGGCAGCAAATACAACAGCACTGTCTTCTTTCTAAATGTTGCCTTCTCTTCCTAGTATGTGGAGATAAGTGTCTATTCAAGGAGATACTTTTAAAGAGGTCTGAAATGCCTGTGAGACTACTTACAGCTTTTAGAACAGAAATTCCTTTGAGGCAGAAGTGTAACCTTTTCTATGTGACAAAAAGTTTTTTCTAGTAAATGACAGGGCATAATGCTTGGGTAAACTGATACTCAGCCTTATCGAAATGAATCAGGTAAGGTTTGTTAGTCGGGTGTTTTATGGGATATTACTTTTCATAATGATTGTGTATGAACAATCTCAGGTAAAGCCAGCACTGCTCAGACCCTTGCAGTGTTCTTGGACTTTGCAGCACCTTGGAACCTGAAATAGGAATGAATGATGGGCTTAAGATTCAGAGGACTGCTACCAAAATGCCTTAAAAGTACAGTTGAACCTTGGACAGCTCAAGTTTTAACTGAGTGGGGCCACTTGCACTCAGATTTTTTTTTATTATATACTCTAAAAATATTTTCTCTTTTTTATGATTTTTAATAACATTTTCCTGTAATATACATATATAACATATAAAGTATGTGTTAAATGACAATGTATATTGTTGGTAAGCCCTCTAATCAGTAGTAGGCTATTAGTAGTTACGTTTTGGGGTATTCAGAAGTTTTACAAGAATTTCCCCTACTAGGTGATCGGTGCCTCTGACCCCAGTGTTGTTCAAAGGTCAACTATAGATCTCTAATAAAGGTATTAGCAGTCACAACTGTTAGCCCAGAAAGGAATAACAATATAGTAAGCATAGAGAAGTTTGTCCATTCCCCCAAATAAAGAGAATTGTATTAACAGTATTTTAAAATCTGTAAACCTTGAATATCACTGATTGTTGAAGAATAAGGAGTGGGGGGGGCGTGGCATCTCCCTCTGTAAAGGTCATGCCCATTGGGTTCTTGCCTGGCTAAAAGGGTTTGGGTTGGGTTGTGCTGGAATTGCAAAGGATTTTTAGGGCCTGTTACGGTTTTATAGCTAATAAAGATAATATTTAAAGCTTAAAGTATTTCTGCATTTATCCCTGATTGATAAAATACTGAAGAAAGTGATCTTTTACAAGAATTTTTTCAAAGTTTTAAGAAATGAGAAAAACTCCATATTTAAGATTTTGAATGTTTTATTAATGGTAGTTGTAAAGTTCATAAATTCTGTTTCTTTCTTACTTCCATGCATTCTTTAAATAAAGAGGCTGCTCTCAAGCAAACTCAGGACTTCAAGCAACTAAGGAATGAAAAGAAAATACTTGAAAAGGAATTTAAGAAGACACAGGTAAGAGATAACAGTGCACACACATGTTAAATTTCTGGCCTCTTGGCTCCTTAGCATCCTTTGTAAAAATGCAGTATCCCAATCACGCAGGAGTCAGGAATGAGGCCCCTGAGGAAGGTAGCTGGCTGTGCTGGTCAAGTTGCCTCCCCTGCATTAGGGCCAGAGTGGCTGCACACTGTACAGTGCCAGCTCTCTCGGTGTTTTGTTTTCACAGGAAAGGCTGGATGAGTTTTCTAAGCAGAAAAATGAAAAAGGTGAGTGTTCAGTTAATGGCCTACATAAAAATTCTGCTTTGATATCCAGTATCCTTTTTAACCATTGTTCCCCCACGTTTTTAGAGTTGAAACACATTGGAACACAAATTTCAAGTGATTGTTATGGAAGCATAGATAAAAGTGAGTATATTCCAAGTTCTGTTTTTATTTCTGTTTACTACTTTTAGTGGTTTGGGAGCTTCTTTGTTGCTGTTACCTGTGACTGTGAAAGTTCCAGGGCTTCGTAGATGTTTTGTGGAAGAAGAAGTCATATCCTATCTCATGTCTCCATTGGATCCCTGTATATTATCACCCTGCTGTTTGATAAAATAACACAGTGAAAGTAAACATGAAGAAGCAGTATTGTTTGGGAAATGAAAAGTAGTTAGAGATACAATTTCCACACTTTCTAGAAAATAAAAACTAAAGGGTTTGGGTTGGCTTGTCCTGGAATTCATTACAGTTTAACAAGTTAATTTCTTAGGTGCCAAATACATAAAAAATTTTTACTGTCAGGCAGGAAAACTGGAGTGAAAGCCATATAAGTGTATTTTTGGAAGACAAAACCTTAAGGAAGTACACAAGTTACAAGGACAAGGGAAGTGGTCTTCAAACAATGCGCAAGGGAAGTGACAGGTGTACAGGCGTGCCTTTACCCCGGGGTGGTCTTGTAGGTGAGGAGGCGTGGCCCTGAAGTTAGAAACTAGGGGCTTCCCTTTAATATTTCTCTTCATTCACTGGGTGACCATTAACCTACCTTCCTTCGTGTCGTTGTTTTTCTTTTTTAAGGGAGATTATGAATTGCCGCTCTGCTGTCTCTCACTTTTTTTGTAGGGATACATTGAAAATGTACATATTGGTGTTTTCATGTCACTGTTCTGCTTTTTTTTCCAAGATGGATATTATTTAAACCACTTACATTGTTTTGTGTACAATAAAGAGTGTCTCTTTAGAAGTCTTCATCTTTTTTCTTCCTTTATTTTTTTTTTCAATTTAGAGCACAAGATCGTTTTTTCTGTGTGGTTTAAGGCTTAACAGTTAACACATTTCATTTATCTGGGCACTGATTTATCACTGTCAGTGATGCGTAATTCATGTGCTTTTGACTCTTCCTGCTCTTATGTGTGGAAAGTGAAAGTCTTAGTGATAGATGTTGCTGAGAGAAGTAGAAATCTGGACAACACTTGGCTTTCCCAAGTAACAGTCAGATGTGGAATGAAATGTTCTCTTGCGGACTGACAGATTTGCTCTAGGATCCGGCTATTCTCAGGCCTTACTGTTTCAAACCGAACCCTCATACCCCCTAACTATAGTTGACCTGTGTCCGTACACTGTTTCACTTTCCTCAAAGAACTTGATACTGTCTCCAAGTAAAATTTTGGTTTGTTTTGATCTTCCCTTCCTGTGGGGGCTGGGGTGTTGGTTGTACATTTTACTAATAAATGAAGTCTTTAGGAGTCTGCTGATTATTAAGTTGTAGACTTGGATGGGTTTAATTCCTAATACTCAAACGTAAATTTAATACTTTAATACTTCTGACAGAGATTTACAAGTTAGGCAGAAAGAGTGTTGATTTCATTTTTAAAAAGGCTGCTTGAGTGCTACATTTGCCTTTTCTTCCTTTCGAATTCCAGTAAAAGTGGCAGAAAATAAAATATAGCTCTTTATGTAAAGTAGTTGGTATCAGTTGGTGATGAAGCCCCAAAGTACAGAGAAAATAGCAGCCCTCAGAAAGCAGGTTTCTGTGGCAGAAGCCCTGTGCTTCCTGGAAGCAGAGCTGGCAGGGAGAGGAAGAAGGAGCAAGACAGCGGCATTTTGCCAGGCCATTGACTAATGTGTGAAGAGTGTGCGAACTTCTGGGTTCGGAAACAGTTTCTGACATTTGTCCACAGGCTGTGGCACGAAGTTCAGCTATCTAAAGTGTTAGTTATGCCATGGGAGGCACCCAGGGTGTGTGCAAAAATTGGGAATTGTGGCTGCTTTGAAGGATAGCTGCTTCTGGTCCCAGAAAATGAGATGTTTACATATTCCATGTAAGTCCTCAACAACTGCATTCATCTGTCTTCCCTCCCTTTAAAGGCAGGGTCCTGTATGCCAGGGTCCCCAACACCCGGGCAGTGAATGGACTGGTACTGTCTGTGGCCCCATTAGGAACAGGTTGCACAGCAGGAGGTGGGCAGCTGGTGAGAGAGCAAGAGCTTCATCGGTATTTACAGCCAGTCCCCACCACTCGCATCACCGCCTGAGCTCCGTCTCTTGTCAGGATCAGTGGCAGCATTAGATTCTTATAGCAGTGCAGCCCCTGCTGTGAACTGCGCCTGTGAGGGATCTAGTTGTGTGCTCCTTAGGAGAATCTAATGCCTGGTGATCTCAGGCGGAGCTGAGATGGTGATGCTAGTGCTGGGATGCTGCTGCAAATACCGATTATCATTAGCAGAGAGGTTTGCCTGCACAGAGACCATAATAAATCAATTGCTTGCAGATACATATCCAAACCCTATCCTGCACAGAGACCATAATAAATCAATTGCTTGCAGATACATATCCAAACCCTATCAGTGTTATAGGTCCAAACAAAACAACCCCCCCCCCCCAAAAAAAAAACCCTCTCAGTGAGTGGCAAGTGACAATTAAGTTGCATCTGGTGGCAGATTAGAAACCCATCCTCTTCCACCACCGTCCCCTGCCCCAACCACCAGTCCATGGAAAAATTGTCTTCCATGAAACTGGTCCCTGGTGCCAAAAAGGTTGGGGACTGTTGCTATGGGCTTATGAAATAAGAACCTATATTTATGGTGAGCATAGGACTAAATACTGTAGGCTGAAGAAACATACTCTGGCTATCAAAGATGTCCTGCCTAAACTTCCATCCAAAACAGAGAAAAGGCAGTGGCAAAAAAAGAAAGGCACCGAAGCTCAAGAAGACCTCGTACCTGAGGAGACAGTATGAAACCATGAACCGTGTTAAATGTTAAAAACTGAGTTGTATCCTTAGAGAAAAGGCTGCTGCTATGAAATTAGAATTGGGGTTCTGGAAAACTAAAAATACGATTGTATAAATATATTCACTAGAAAAGCTGAATTGTTAAATACGCAAATATAGGTGTCTCTGAGAACATGGTACAAAAGAACAAAGGAATAAAAGGTATTAGGGGAAATGTAAGAATTTGAACGATAGCGCTGAATATTGTAATAGCCATTTGTTAGAACTTCTCGGGAGAACAGCCTAAGGACAAAAGGTGGTCAAGAAATAACAGAAGGAAACTTCCTAGAGCTTAGCACAGATGCGATATTTATATTGGAAAGGCATACCAAGTGTTGAGCATGACCTTTGTGAATGATCTTTATCTCCGATGTATTTATAGGGAGTATATTTAATATCGAATGAAATAACAGAAAAAATAATATACAGGGATGGATAAAGAAATTCCAAACAAGTCCTAACTTGTAAGCTGTACTCTAAGACAAAATAATTCAATCCTAGAAATGACTTCACATGGGTTAAAGGGAGTATCTAGATTGATGAAATGTACAGTTCACCAAGAAGAGACTACTGTCGTGGATAAAAAAACATGAAACGGTCGAGTTAAATGCTTGGAAATTCTAGGGGCAATAGCCAGGTCTGTTTCCATGGGAGACCTTTATCTGTTTCTCAGAAATAGAAAATCATAAAAAGTAGGAGGTAGAATTAGAATCATAATTGCAAAATGGCTGATTTACATATGATTTTTTCAAACCACAGGTTTAGAATTTAAAATACTTTTAAAACATGTAAAGGCTGTTTACTAATAACTCATATCTAATCTGGTGTATTAAGATATTGAGGTTTAATAAGATAACTACTAAAATGCTCTCCCATGCCCCCCAAAAGTCTTTCAAAACCTACCTGGTAACTGCAAACACATAAACATGAACAAATCCTTCTTGGATAACAGAAGATAAAACTGGAAATACAAAACTGTTTTGGAAATAAACAACAGTAGGGCAGCCTTTATTAAATTTTTGAGATATTGCCAGTATGGTATTCAAAGGAATGATTTGTGGCCTTCAGTGATTATTTTAGAAAGCAAGAATTACAGAAAATAAATGGCTAAGAAGGCAGGAAGATACAAGAAAGCAGTTGATGAAATTGAAAACAAGTTAATGAAATAGGAAACAAACAGTTGCTTTGAGACCATTAAAAACCAGTTGCTGGATCTGTGTAGTGCTGGTGAAATTGACAGGTCTTTGCAAGTGTGATTAAGATAGGAAGGAACAAAAATCTGATAGTACTAGGACTGAGAAACCTATAAAACTGTAGCTGGAGAATCTTAATTCACAAATTTGTATTCATCTTTGATCATGTTGATGATAGGACTGTTTTCTAGGAAAACATACCAAATAGTTGACTCAGAGTAGTTATTGCAAACCTGATCAGAAAAAGAAACCCAAAAGAAATTTAAAAATTAGTTAAAGCTGTAATGCCATAGAAGATCCAGGTAGCTTACCATTGAGCTCTGTAAAGCCTTCAGTGAAAACTAAAGTCTTTATTATTTATTTTAAAACTTAGAAAAATATTCAGTGCTTTCTGTCTCATTCTCTTAGACTAGCATAACCCTGTATACCAAAGTCAGTTAAGAATAACATGCACACACATCCTAAAGACTCAGAGCTTTGCCACTTAGGAATATAAGTCACATTTTAAGGACTCAAATCTAATAATTGCGAATATAGATAAATTATGACTTAAGGATTTCTCTGAGGAATATTGTGACAACTGGGTAAGAGAAAAATGATATCTCAAGCACACATTCTTCGTAAAAAATAATGGTGAGGTAACAATAGAATAAAAACATTTGCACTTGAGAAAGGTGACATGTACAGAGCAAGGTCAAGGCAAACATGCTTCCTGTTACCTCCATTCTTTATGGGAGGCCTCTAAGAGCTGTGAATACTAATAAAGAAGAGTCAACATTGTCATAATTTCAAAAGCTATGACTAGACAATTGAAAAGTCTCAGCTGGAAAATACAAGTGTAGGAGCTTGGGAAAGTGGTGATACACAGTGGTGATACATAACGTGTCATTAATGAATCCTTTAGAACAGGGATGGAATAGGAACAACCCAATCTCAAATGGCAGTGGAACCGTCAGAGGTCTAGGAAAAGACCTAAAAGCAGCGTGCCATGCCTCCAAGAAAAAAATTATAAGACACTGCTGAATTCTGTTAAAGTGTATAAACATCATGTTTGAGATTGAAAGCTTCCATCTCAAGGAAGAATAAGGATGTGAGTTTTCCCAAAATGTATTTGTAAATATACAGCCTCACTCAAAAAATCATTGAGGTTTTATATGCGGAAGGACAGGCAGGTGCTGAAGTTTTATCTGGAATCAGTAGATGTTTAGAATAATGTTTTTGAGAAAAAATTCTGAGCAGATATTACAACAATAATAAAACTTGTGATTAAAGAAGTGTGGTATTCATGTGGAAACTGACAAGTCCAGTGAAATAGAAAAGTCCAGAAATACTGACAGATGCTTTATATTTTGATGAAGGAAGTGCTTTAAAATACTGGGTTAAGGCGTGCAGTTCAATTTAATGAAGTTTTCTCTCCCCACCTAAGTAATGAAGCCACAATAAGGCCTTTTTTTTTTTTTTTTTTTTTTTTTTTTTTTTGCTTTGGTGGGAATGGATAGCTCTTTTATTTGTGGATAGACGTAATGAAAGAGTGCTCAATTAGAATAGGCATAGCTCTGATTAATAGCCTCCATAAGAATAGAGAAGTAACTTTTTTTCTTTTTTTTTAAGGTTCCCTGTTTGCTGCTTTGGGTATACGTAATAAGCAGGGATCCTGGTCAGGTCATTTAAGCAAAGGGGAGTACAGTGTTTGGAAGCAGGCTTTGGGGTAGGTTAAATCACAATGTAGATAAGCTGCTTGATCACAGAATTTGGAACTCAAAAATGGATGTGTCTCACACAGGGTGACCATCAGAGGTTGATTGGCTCAGGGGAAGTTGGAAGTGTCCAGCTTTTCAAACCCACCCTGCGCCTCTGTCCTCCTCTCCTGTCCTGGTCCCTCTGTCTGAACCTCATTATTTGGTGTGATGCGGTTTGCCAGCTTCCATAGATCTGACCTATTCAGAATTTGTGATTCCTTGGAGACATTTTGGTTTAAAAAGTTGGTCTTTTAGCCTCTTGAGACTGGGTTAAAGATTTCGGTATTTTTAATAAGTGCTTCAGGTTAATTTAAAAACATGTTCAAGGAAACAATAACAGAACTTGGAAGTGACCTGAAATTGCCTAATGTTTATAGCTTATTTTTTAGGTGAGTTTTAATTTGTGTGGGATGTCATTTTATGCAGATTTGACCACAAACTATTGATAGTTTTATGAATACTTTTTGCTTTGGAAGTTTTTTTAAATTTGTATATTTATTAATGTTAAACTCACTTTAAAACCATAGTTGATATTCCTGGTTTATATGAATTTTATTGGCCATGTATTAGTTACAACTACTGTTGGCCTTTCAACTTGAACCAGTGGTTCTTAACCATTTTAGAGATCAGACAAACCCCTTTGAAAATTTATAAAAATTCCAAAGCTTTTACTTTGCTCATGAGAGCATATGCTTCTCTGTGTGATTATCTTGTCCTGCCCATGTGCTTACATGCACACGTTCTTGTCTCTCACCTCACACTTCTGTAAGACCGCTGATGGCTTTCCCGTGATCCCTGAGGCCCCCAGGTTAATTACAGCATGGTCAGCTTTGAGGCATTTCTGTTAATAACTTCATGTAACTGAGGAGATATGGCTCCCCTGTTCTTTGCAGAATATGTAGAGTCCAAACCTCATATATCAGTCATTATACCTGCTTCCTTTCCCAATCATGTATCACTCTCTCTTGAAAACTTACAGGCCAAAGATTTATTTGTGTCACACCAACATAAAGGTGATAGAAGCCATTAACAACAGGTATATTTGGTCTTTTGACTCCCATTCTCCCTCCTCTTGCAAACGAAAGCAAATGAAATCGAAGTCTGTATTCAGTCATCGGTATTGGGCTAGAGCATTGCAGACCTTTCCATCGGCGGCTGACTCAGTTATGCACAATAGTTGAATTTGGGGAAGATGTTTAAGTTACTTAGTTTTCAAAATTTCTAATGAGTCCTGATTTCACAAGACTATCTTTTGGCCTTGCATAGATTGAGCCAAATAATGTATCTTTAATACTTTATTCTCTTTCCTAGGAAAAATAAAACTACTTCTGAAAGAACTCTGGCTCTGTATAAACACAACACACAGAGTACCTGGTGAAAGCAGCAGATGTCTCCCAGGTGAGATATAGAAGCTTCCAGAAGTATGTATTGTACATGAAAGTAGAAATGTTTACCTTGGGTATTATGTGCCTTTGGTGTTTAATGTCTTAAATTCCATTAAAGAATGAACTAAGCTAGAACGGGTACTCTTATATAAAACTTCTTTCCTTGCAGTGTTATTTCTGCCAATCTCAGTAAATGCATTTGGGTTTTAATTTTTAATAGCAGCTTTCATTAGAGAACATACAAAGAAATTGGCAGGACCCATAGTGGAGGCATATTTAACAGGTGTATGCAAAAACTCAGGACAAACAGCTTTTCCAATCATATGGGTTCCATTTATCTACCAGCAATTTAACTTAATTTGTTTTTCGTGTAATTTACCAATTACTTTGGTTGAAATTTTAGTGATAATCTATTCTGCATTTGTATTCTCTTTTAGGGTACAGATATACAAAAAGGGATGGATAAAAACTGTCACATCCGATTGTTACTGTACAGCGCAAGCAGCTAATGCATTTTCAGAGATTTGACTTAATCTGTGGTGTATCTTGATTTGCAGTAAAAAGCCGTGGAGGCTTTCTACCACATTCTGTTACACTGTATTCAAAGATTTAGAAATAGATATTAGTCACCTGGAGTGGATGGGGAGAAGATTGCTGTCTTACATAAGATTAAAATGTTTTTTAACTGTTTTGTTGTACTAGTTTTTTCAACTAGCTTGAATTTATACATATTCAAGATCTAAAGTCTGTAGAAACAAGCACCTAGTTTTTCTTCCCAGGCTCTCAAGGTGATGTTCCCTAAGAAAAACGTGCATAGGCAAGTTCCTGATTTTTATTTACGTGTGGGTTCATAACTTGTGAGGCCTATAGATGCATATTTGTTGGGATCACCTCCTGGATAAAACTGATAATATGACCGTGTAGAGCCTGCAGCTGCTAAATTAGTCTCTCCAGTTTAGAATGTATTCATCTGTTCAGACAAAAGCAGCCTGAGATTCATTTTAGTCTTCTGTATTAGTCAGTAGTCCTACTTTATTATAAACACGGGATTTTATGTTGTTTGTTAAAGATGTTTTCTTTAAAACGTCGTTAAAAGGGACATCTTTTATTTAATAATTTTATGTTTATTTAAAAACATTAGTTAGAGGGGTAAGTCTGTTCCTTAATGTTAGCTTTCTCAAATAGAAGGGAAAAACATGGTATCTTTGGAATTTTATACCATTATATATATATGTAAACTTTTCTTTTCATATGAGAAAGGTTGTAAAAATAGTGCAGAAAATTTCACTTGTTACTCCAGAGTTTAACATTTTCCATCACCAATAATCAAAACCAGAACACTTAGGACAATACTGTTAACAAAAATAAACCATATGTGACTTTCATCTGTTTTTTCATCGGGGTCATTTTTCCTTTCCAAGATACCGCATTGCATTTAGCCGTCATTCTTTCTTCCATCTCCCCCAGAAGGACAACGCATCTATTTTACCTTGTGTCTCCTGTCTTTTTACTTTTGGAGAATACAGATGATTTTTTTATCTTTAGAGGGGAAGGGAAGGAGAGAGGGAGAGAAATATCAATGTATGGTTGCCTCTCATGGGTCCCCTGCTGGGAACTGGCCTGCAACTCAGGCATGTGCCCTGACTCGGAATCGAACTGCAATTGTGTGGTTCTCAGGCCCGTGCTCAATCCACTAAGCTATACCAGCTAGGGCGAGAATACAGATGATTTTGTGGAAAGCCTATCAGTTTGGGCAAATCTGATGTCTTCTCACATTAGATTAAGACTTGTACTTGTGGGAAGAACCCCCACAGTGGTCATACTGTCCTCTGCCTTGGGTGCTGTGCCCAGAGAGAGGGATGTAGAGTTGCATTGTCACTGGGTATATTAACCTTGATCACTTACTTAAAGTGGCGTCTGTCAGGTTTCTCCATTGTCAAGTTACTATTAGTTATCTTTAGAGAGATACTTTGACACTGCAAATACTCTCTTTCTCTCCAACTGTAGTGTACTGATTTTATTAGCCATCCATGATGCTATTTGCCATATTGACTATTTGTCCAATAAGTTTTATTGTATTTCCTTCATTTCTTTTGCATTTATTGGGATTCTTCTGTAAGAAAGAGCTGTTCTTCTCACCAGTATAATTTTTGGGTATTTATTTTATGCATTATAATTCAGTTCTGTCATTATGTATTGTTCAGATTACCCTGGGTATGGTTATTGGGATCATCTTCCCCTTGGCTGGGCCCCTTTCGTGTACCCCACCCCGTTCTGGGAACCTCTTTACTTTCTGGCACTGCAAGATGTTTCAGGCTCAGCTTGTATTTCCCTTCCCTAGCCTTGTGATCAGCCACTTCTCCCAGGACCCCAGAGCCCTTCTGTAAAACATATTTTTATGGCTTTCAAATATGACAAATAGATGCTTCTAATTATTTCCTAGGACACTAATTAGCGCCTCTGAGGTTCACCAAAATCAAGACTCAAAGGCATAGGCTTCTTACAGTGATTTTTCCATTGCTTATAATAAAAAGCTCCAGTTTCTTAATTAGAGCGTTGTACAACTGTGGTCATGGGGTAGGTTTGATATCAGTGGATTTTAGCTTGCTTGTCTGACAGAGAATATCGTGTTCCCTGTCAGCCTGCATGCACAAAGCTGTTCCCCCCCCCCCAACCACTGTTTGTTAGGGTCATCAAGAAGGGTGAGCAGGTAGGTCATCAAGGTCCAGGGCCCTTAGATGGCTGAGGGTGCTTTTCCACCCTGCACTCTGCTGTCGAGGGGTCGTGGGCATACCACCTACACGTGTACCTGCCTTATCGTATGGGTTGTGAGCAAAGCAAACTTACGTGGGGTATGCTCAGGTTTTATAGGACAGTCTTCAGGAAGGGCTTTTTTAAAATATGTTTTTACTTGGACTTAATATTGCAAGCATTTTAAACTGTTAGAGTAAGTTGGGATTTTTTTAAAGTCTTCTCAATATCGTAAATGTTGGATATTTACTTTGTTTATTTTTTCCCCCCACAGCAAAACCTGCTGAAGAAAAACCTAGATCCAGAGAGTCCGGGGAAGATGGTGTGCCCACTCGGGTTGAGGGCAGCCCTCCCAGAGCCTCTGCAGTGCAGACGTGTCTGGCGGAGCTGTCCATGGAGATAGAGGGTGACTTCTCCCCATGTAAAAATGTGAGACAAGAGAGGCCCAGTGGAGCAGCTCATCCTAATGAGGACCAGCCTCCTGAAGTTGTAATGCCGAGGAATGACGAGGACAGTACTGAGTTTTTGCATGGCAGTCGCTTTTTTGATGAAGATCTTCAAGCTGCAGTTGACTTCTTCAAGCTTCCCCCTCCTCTTTTGTCTCCAGTGCCATCACCCCCTCTGGGGTCCTTACCGCACCTGGGCACCTTACCTTCTTCTCTTGCACCTGTGAGTTTGCATTTTGAGTTTGACTTACCAAATGGGCATAGTGTTCATCCTGTTATGTTGGCCATATTCAAAGAACATTTGTGATACTCAGAGTAGATTTTATTAGGGAGTATTAAGAAAATATAAAAAGGCCTGCCAGTGCCCTTAGAATCAACATGTATTTTTAGTTCTTTCTGTTATGGTTGCATATTTTGTCTATCCACAACCAAATTATGTCTCCTGTAGAAGGACTGAGTCTTAATTGTTTCTTCTTATGTCTCATGATGGGCTTTTAGCCAATATGGGGTGAATGAATTAAATACATGTCTGTAGCCATAGATTTTTTTCAGAGATAGGTAAATCCATGTGTATAGCATACATTAATGTAGGTTACTGAATTCCCCACTTTGACTTCATGAACTCATCCTCTTTGTGTGTTTACAGAATGGTTTATCATAATTTATTAGGAAGTTTTAATAAAATGGATTTATATACTTTTTGACTTAAGGAGCAAGTAAATAGCTTTAAATTAGTTCCTTCATTCAGGAAACATAACGCAATTCTGTTGTGTTTCAGACATTGTGCTAGGCTCCAGGAATGCAGAGGTGATGCAGGAATTGGTTGCTACTTAGTTGGATCTTGTATGGTGGTCAGACCGTACAAGACCGTGTGCGGAAATGTGTGGCGAGAGTTGTCCGTGGGTAGACACCCAGAGTGATGGCCCCGTTGGTGCATAGAGGGCAGCGCTCTGGACTCGAGTCAGATGCGAGTCAGACACCGTGGAGGAGTGACTAGGAGGTGGGGGTAAAGAGAGGGTCGTACCCTCTAATATCAGAAGTCTTTTTTGGCCAGAAGATGAAGAAGTAGTTGAGAAATAGAATTTTTAGAGGTTAGGAGAACAAACTGCACAGGAGGCCACATGTGGACTAGAACTTGGAAGAACCTCTTATGGGAGAAGAGGTGTGAGTGAGGATAACTCTCAGGGACAGATGGGCTCTTAGGAAAGGACAGATGAGTGTCGCACTTGTGATTGAGACTTTCCCACCTGTTACAGTGGTTCTGGAGAGTAAACTGCCTGTCTTCACATATGTTGAAAGGTCTTTGGGAAGCATGTACTTTTTTTTAAATGCATTTAATTGATATTTTACTTGGTTGAATTAGTATTTAATTAACTAGTACAACTCATTTATTTTTAAGGAAACCTACTTTGGAGAGTACACAGATTCCAGTGATAATGACTCAGCCCAACACAGAAATTCTGCTGAGTCTAATTCAGAAGATGATACATCTGACACACAGGACTGTTTTGGCTCACCCAGAAAGAATAAAGGAAGTGGTACATGGGAGGAAAAGCCCAATTTGCAGGGAGCCACCGAAGCTCTGAACACATTGGAAGCAAATGAAGTGACAGCTGTTGGGTTTGGAGCACTTACAGCAACGCTGAGAGAACCTTCAGCCACATTCACCTTAGCTCATGAGGAACACTGGGCATTGTCATCTCAGCTCATTAGTGGTAAAAAAAGAGGCATTTCAGGTGAGGCAAAAGGACAAAGAGAGGTTAGGGAGATGGATAAATCAGTGCAAACTGAGGAAACACTTTGTAAACCCACCAGAAGTGTGAGTGTTGAGAGGTTGTCTGGCAGCCTAACACAAGGGAAGGAAGCAGCCCTTGGGACGTCAGACATGTGTTACTCTCCCCTTGGCCAAGAGGCCATTGAATGAACTTCCAGGATCTGAAGGAAAAACTCCATTTTCCAGAATGATAGGATCATCCAAATCAGACTTCACTAAGTGGACGCCAACTAATGAACTCACATGTGAATCAGATCATATGTCAGTTTCTGACCATCATCAGGGAATATCTAGAGAACTGGAAAAGGACAGAGAAGGGCAAGGTTTTATTTTAGGAGAATCACCCGAACCTGAAGAAGATTCAGATGATGTAATGGATGCAACAGAGCTTGATGTCGAAGCCAAATTTTCTTCCTCTTCTACCTCAGGAGCATTGTCTGTCTACAGTAATCCCCAGTCTTCCTCTGGGTTGAAGTGTGGTCATGATAAACATATCCCTACTGAACTGTGTCATTCAGAACAGAAGTTACAAGCTACAACTTCAAACTTGTCAGGTCTGCAGTCTGAGCCACTAGAATGTTGTGCAGTAGCAAACAACCTGGAGAATAGCTTCCATGCTCTGAACCCTGAGTTGGGAGCATCCGATTTTCATGATCAGAGTAGCAGTGGCAAAGAATGTACAAAAGTTGTAAAAGGCATGACCAAAGTATATTCCCTTCCTCAGTCAGTATTTATGAAAGCCATGAAAGGTGGACAGTGTGAAAGTCAAGGTCCAGGAGGTGAGCTCACGCCAAGTCAGTCAGATTTTGCACCCTTAGTAGAGTCTCGGTCTGGCTTGATTAAGAGTGGTTTTGGTTTTGTTAAAAGCACTTCTTGGCACCATAGTGATCTGTTAAGGAGAGGTAGTGAAGAAAGGCTGAGAGCTAAGTCAGAACATGAACGTGAACAGGAAACCAACCATCAGTTACAAAAGGCAATGCTGTCCTTAGAAAAAAGAGGGTCAACGTCATTTTCATCTAACCAAGTGTCAGTTATCACCAAGCAGGCCAGGCCTGAAGCAACGCAGAGTGCTAGATCGGAACCTTTGAGACTGCATAGGAGTGAGCCTGCCTTAGCAACAGAAAAAGTGGATAACGTGTCATCCATAGCAAGATGTGGAGAAAGGGAGGACCCGACCCAGATCATCAAGGGGGTGGCTGCTACAAAAAGGACTTCACCAGAAAGTTCCAAGTCTTGGAGAAAATTAGATTCCGATTCTCCAGGTGGTTCTTTACCAGTAGAAAATTCTCATTGTTCCACAAAGAGTAAATTATCTTTTTTCCCTGAAAATATCCCAGTCCCAAACCAAAACGTGACAGAACCTGCAGTGCAGGCAGAGCTGCGGGAGCAGTGTCCGCCTCTGAATGTCACAGGTCTGGACTCATCTGGGACGGGGGCAGGGAAACTTCCTCCAGCTGCAGAAATGGCGGTGTCCAGAAGTCTTTCTGTTGAAAAACAACCCAGGGAGGAGACAGTTAGATCTGGTGGTAAAGCCCTGGCCATTTCAAAGGACTCGCCTAGTAGAGAGCAAAGCCCAGAGGGGTCTCTGGAGCAGCCATCCCAGACTCCTAGTGGTACTTCTCCTGAAGGTTCAGGCACCACAGGCACTGCCTTTTCACCAGAAATTGGCAGAAAGGATGAAGAGACACATGCCCTCCCACAGAGTAGCCTTCCAGGTTCTCTTTATTGTTACACAGGCATCCGGGAGGTGGGGGGTGTTGACACTGAGGTGGAAGAGAGTGAGGCCCCGAGCTGCAGTGAGGGTGAGAATGAGCCCGAGGCCGCGCCAGGAAACCAGCAGTGGGATGCTGCCAAGTCCTCCAGAGGAGATGTGGGAGCTGCACGCACTGCTGCCGCTGAGACCAGGCCTTCCACTGAGTTGGGCTGTCTGACCTCAGCTCTGCAGGACTTCAACATCGGCACTCTCTCTGAGATAGACAGACTGTCCACATCAGACGTCGTCATGTTTCTTGAAAGTTGTCAGTTAAGAGATTATAGTTCAGGGGACTCTGTTTCAGAATATTCGAACAAAGAAAGCCTAAACAAAGACACGAACAAAGAATCAAAGCAAAGTGAAACATCAGGAGAAAAGTCTAGAAAGCAGCTCGGTGATGATGAAGAAACACTCAAAACCTGTGAAGAGTGGATTGAATCCGAGGAAGATGATTGTGCTTTAAGGGATGCGAGTCACCTCACCCAGTGTTCGCTGGAAACACTGTCTGAGGTGCTAACCAAGATTGGACAGGAACTTCAGTCCAACTATGAGGACTCTGATGGAAAAGATGCCGGTAATTTACTCCTCTTCAGTATACACGACAGCCTGACAACTGAGCACTTAAAAGAACGAGTCTCACCTCAGCAAATAAGCAGCTCCTCATTGCACCCTTCAGATCCACCCCCGGCAACAGCTGGCTTGGGTGCTAAGGGCAGTTCTCCCACTAGTGGGGTATCTACTGTTAAAAGCACTCAGGACCGGCTTGAGGGTAACTCAAATGTGACTGGGCTGATGGGCAGTGGAGGTGAGGTCCTGTCAGAACTGGCGGAGCTCCCCGCCAAGTGCTCTGACTCGGGAGCTGGGCAGACAGCCGAGCCCGGTGCTGGTTGTGAGTCAGAAGGGTCATTTCAGTGTCAGATATCTACTGTGACTTCTGAAGTTATAAATGTGCTGGTAAATAAGGACCAAAATCTAGTTATTGAAAAGGGAGACAACTGGACCATCATAAATGGGGTAGCCCTCATGCCGAATGTGGACCAGGTCATCCTGTGTGACACTCCTGGAGACAACCCTGCTTCCCCAGATGGAGGAGAGACTGAGGGAGCTGGTTTCATCTCCCCGACTTCTGTGGACAAGTCCCCAGAGACCAGCCACCCTGGCTCTCCACTTCAGGAGTCCCCAGGTGGCAGTAATCTTCCATGTACCCCAGAGGATATTTCCAACAGTGGCCAGAGTTCCAACTTCGATAAAAGTCGTTTGCGGAATAGACCTGTTAAACCTAGTGTAAGGATTAGTTCTGAAATTTATGATCAAATCTTTGAGTCTCAGATTGTTGCATCTGATCACACATATTATAACTCAAAACTGGAGCCATTTGTCAAAAACAAGAATCGATCAAAGATTTCAAACAAAGATCAGTCAAACAAACTGGTAAAGACTTCATCATCCGGCAGGGTTGAAACTAACCCAAGTGAAGTTTCTCAGTCACCTTCAGCGGACAGTGTTAACACAAAAGCCCAGAGACCTCAAACTCAGACCATTCTGGCCAATGCTGACACCTCAACCCCTATGGATTGTTCCACAGACACGCTGAGTAAAATACGGCAGGAGGTGGGGCCCCCTTTGCCACCCCTCCTTGCTCCTTTGATTGCCACACCTCCACGGACTTCACACCCAGTTTCTCCTCTAATATCAAGTTCCAGTCCCTCCTCACCCACCTCCCCTGTTGGCCAGCTTTCTCCATTATGTGAGATTCCAGTGCCACCCATCATGTCTCCTTTGCTGGAAGATGCAAGGCGTGCCTCCCCTTCATGCACATCTCCATCCCCATCCGCTGTATCCACTGGGGAGAGGATACTGTCATCTCCTCTGCAGTTCTGTGCCACCACCCCAAAGCATGCCCTTCCTGTGCCTGGCAGACTGCCTCCCTGTGCATCTGCCCACACCACTGTGGCTGGGCCCCAGGAAAATTCCATTAAAATCCTCGACACCATGTACCCAGAGTTATCTGCCAGGGCCCGTACTCTCAACATCCTCAAAGGGAATATTCAGCTCACGCGAGGTCCACCTGCTGACCGGCAGAATTTACCGGGGCCCGTCAGCGCCATAACAGGTTTCAAAGCGATCAGTTCCATGTCAACTGCCTTTGTCAAAACGGGGGGCAGCTCTGGTGGTGATTGTAATCAGGATAAGTCCAGAGATTTGGGTACTCAACAGGATCCAAGTGGAAAAAGAACACTGTCAGCATGTATACTGAGGAGTGCTAAAAGATTGCGCCTGGACAGTGGGTCCTCGGAATCAGAAGGTGGGAGCACCACCTCGGAAGGGGTCAACAAGCCCCCCTGCAGGAACCTCCCTCAAGCTGAAGTTGCAGCAACAGATGAGGAACCAAGTTCTGTTTCAGCTGCCAGTTCAGGTTCACAGTTGCCTCTGAACCCCAAAGAAACTGTGGAGTCTCACGATAAAGCCATAGCTGATGCTCTGAAGAAGATTGCAGAGTCCTCCTTTGACTTGTTGCCTGTCATTCGCAGTCATGTGTATGTGGGAAATATCTCCAAAAAGCCTGTAATGAGAGATCAAGAGAAAGAAGTTGTCTATGACTTCAGCACAACAAAGAAGGTAGGTGGTGGCCAATTTCCAGGAGCTTAGGGATTGCTCATCTTCAGGGGCAGGCTGTCTGCTGTCAGCAGGATGGCAGAGGACGCCAACAAAAGTTTCAGTTCAGCTGTTGACAGTTATGCATACAAACATTGAGACCAGTACTTTTATTTCCAGCCAGAATTTTATACATTTGAGATGTGATTTGACACTGGAGATTTGAATATTTTTGCTCATCAAATAACATTTTAAAGAAAGAAAAAGTATCTGTCAGAATTGCAGTAGCATATTTCTCATTTATTCTGACATGTTTAAAGGCTTGAAATTATTTACTTGAAAGTATCAAATGATTATCACATAACAGCATTTCATTCCAATAAATAGTGTTATAAGCACACTTGCAAGTTCTAGAGTCTTTCAGAAAGACAAAGTCTTTCGGTTTCCCCTTCTCCTCAGTGTGTGTTGCGAATCAAATGGGAGCACATGTTCAGTTTCAAGATGAGGGTTACGCTATCTGCTGCAGTTTAGTAGGACGTTTATAGGCTCACAGTTTCTAAGTAACTATGTTGACACCTTGTGTGGAAGACTTTACCTGCACAATTTCCCAAAGTGGTATAAATACTTTTTTTTAGATCACCTACATTCGGAAAGCATACAGAGCAGTATAAGTTTGAAGATACTTATTTTCAAATAGATGCATATGTCAAATTAATGCTTCTCTTCCTGAACAAGGAACATGTTACCTAATGTTTGACGATCTAAGCAGGATAAATGTGTAGAGTGCACTGGAGTTGGGAAAACAAGAAGGGGGTAGGGTAGAGTGGGTTTAATACCCTTGCACACACACAGATTGCAGCAAAAACCAGTACACTGTACTTGTCTAGAGTGGTGGTGATGACAACAGACAGCCAGGTGCGCTCAGATCTGCCATCCAGCACGTGCAGCTCCACTGACCACACGCAGCCGACAGATGTGCACTTACTCCCCAGAGCCCCTTGGCTTACCTGCTGAGCAAGTCATTACCAGTTACTGCCTTCTGCTACCTTCTCCAGTAGAGTGCATGTTGTGTTTTTCTAGTAGATACTAAATTTTGTAACTTAGGCTTTTCTTTGACTTTGAACATATACACAATGGAATTCTAGGCTTTTCTTTAGTAGACTAAGGATAAATATCAGGCTACATTGCCTTTTCATTTTTTTCCCCCTCACTCCAGCATTTAGCAGAGTGCTTGCTTCACTCTATTCTCTCCGAATTAAAACTTCAGAAGACATCTCTGGAGCACAATTACATTCATGCACTCTGCAGAGTGTATGTGGGTATTTGCCGGCAACTCGGAGACGTAGAAAGAGCTCGCTTGTTCTGCTACAGCCTACTTAAGGAAGGTATGTTCACATGGCGGCTTATTTGTATTGAAAACATTGTTGCCTTTTCACCTCATTATACTTGGATCTGTATTTTGAGCTAAGCAGTTGCTGTGTATTTTTTTAAATTGTGCAGTTATTTGTACATTTAGCAGAGGGCATGTAGAGCCGTAGGTATACCTGTCTATTCCTGATTTCCAGGAGGAGAAAGAAGGTCTGTGACTTAAACTTATGTCAGCATTTCACTTATGTAAGATATGGGATTTCTCATTACTGTATACTTGTCCTATTCCTTGTGGAGTTACTTTAGAATCAGATGTAGCTGACACAAGATAAAGGAAAGATTTAAAGTAAGTGACAAACTATGGTGCTGCGTCATCACCTGGAAAGGACAGAAAATACAAGATGGATTCATTAGCTCATGAAAAGAAGATTATTAGAAGTGGGAAGGCGGGCTGTCCTATGATTCTCCTTTTCCCTTTACTGCTATTTCTTCAATCTCTACTGATAATCAGATTAGGAGTCATTCTTCATTATATCAGATCATCAGTGGAGACATTTTTAAATAGTAAAATGATATAAAAATGCAATTTAATATTGTATCAAAGTCTTATTTAGATTGCAAACATTTAAAATTTTTTATTACCATAATGTTTTCGGGGCATATAAATCAGGATAATTGAATATAGCCATCACTTCTAGAGTCATGAACGAGGCTGCTGTGTTTATTGCCCACTTCATTTCTTTGTTTAGTCTTTCAGTCACTGATTTATTTGACAAATACTGTGGGTCAGGGCTCCAGTGGCAACCCAAACCAGAGGTGACCGTTCAGTGGGGCCAGTACATGGAAACAGTACACAAGCCCTCACCGGGTTTTCTCAGTGGTGGGTGGCAGGATGGAGAGGGTGTGACTCTGCTTAGCACCACCTGGATTTCTGACTTTTCCTCAAACACAACCAGTTCCTTGTCACCTCAGGTTCTTGTGTCACAGGTTTCTCTCTCTTGGGAAGCTTTCCGTACAACTTTGTTATGACTTACTGTGTGATTTCACATACGTTCTCAGTCTTTCCTTAGCCCTTAGTCTCCTTTTCCTTCAGGGCACTTACCCAGCTTACATTATTTGCTGTCTCACTCCTCCATTAGCGTGAGTACTGTGTAAGACAGGAATTTTGTTTGTCATGTTTCTGCCATATTCCTACGCCAGAAAAATGCATTGTGTGTGATCACTATCTGTTGAGTGAATGGGTTGTTCTGTGGAAGACTGATTTGAGAGCATCTGAGGGCTCAGGGAAGCTGTCCTTGTCAAAGTGACTTTTAAACTTGAGATGTGAAGATGCAAAAGAATACCTAAGAGAAAAATGAGGGAGAGAATTCCAGGCAGAGGGAACAACATGCAGAAAAAGTTCTGGGACAAGAAGAAGTATAACCAGACAAGCACAAGATTTCAAAATTAACAGATCAAAAATTGTATTTTATGCCCTGAGTTACCCACTCTTTAAACACATTTTAATGTTAGCTACAATAGAACAGAGAAAAAGATGTGGCTTCGGGCCAAACAGGATAAACATCTTCATGTTATCTGGATATAGCCATGTTTCAAAACATGTCGACTTTCTTATAAAATATTCATCATATGACCTAGAAATTTCACTCTTAGGCACTTACTAACAGAAGCAGAGACATGTCTTCAAAGGGACTAGTGCACAGATATTTATAGTATCTTCATCATTCCCATAACCGGAAACAGATGCCCATCCATCAGTTAACGGAAAGCAATGGAATACTGCTCGCCTGAACAAAGGAGCAGACTGCGGATGCGTACAGCATGGCTGAACCGCAGGAACATTACGCTGAGGAGGAGCCAGGCAGGAAGGGGAACGTGTGCCCCATGTAAGTTAGGCAGACGAATTTAAGATGACAGCAAACAGATCAGGGTTATCTGTATCTGGGATGAAGTGATTCGCTGGAAAGGCCAGTCCCTGGGAATTTGGCATGATGTCAGTGTTTTCAGTATTGATTATGGTGGGGATTATATGGGTGTATTCATTTGTCAGAACCCATCTGTCTACTTAAAGAGTATATTTTATTATATGTACGTTATACCTCAGTTAATTGAACAAAGGCCAAGCCACAGTGTGGGGAGAGATATGTACAAGAAAGGATTATCATCCATAATTTATTTAAAATATCTCTTCAGATAAAAAGCTCTATATGTTCTACAAAAGAGTTTTCTTATAAATGCACAAAAATATGGCCCGAAATTATACTAACCAAGTGGAAGGGTTCTGGGATTTGGGCAGGCTGGAGAGAGGATAGTTGCTCTGTCTTCAGGAAGTCTTAGAGTTTATTACTCTTTTCATACAATGGTTTATACACACATGTGTTATGTTTCAAATTTAAAGAAAGTTTGCCAAAGGGAAGAAAGGAAAGGAGAAGCAGAATTTTAAACTAAGACTGGGCCTCATTCAGTTGGAAGCCTTGCAAGGCACAAGTGAAATTACTAACATGTATTCTTAGTTTATTGATTTGATCAGACATAAAGGTGTACTATCTTATTTTCTTTCTTACAGATTTCCCAGAGTCAGAAAAACTGACTTTGTTCATCGCAAACATGTGGCATGATATATTTATCTCTCAATCAGTGATTAATAAGGCAATGCAGTTAGTTGCCAGGCAACGTGCTAAAGGAGAGGTTCTGAATTGTTTGAGAGCATTTCTCAATTGGGAAAAGGTGAGATTTATTTTTACTTGTAATACCATACTTTGTAGGTCTCACATAAATGTTACTTGGCTTTGTATTCGGTTTTGTATTAGCTGATAGAGCCTTTTAGAAATAATGCATTCCTTGCATTAGATCTTTTAAAATATCATTTTAGCCTTAGCTTTTGCATTTTGTTCATTAAGTATGCATGAGACCCTTTGGGAAGAATTGTAGACCTGTGTTTTACTTGAATTTAAGTTTATTTTGTGCACTAATTTATATGACTGATGAGATGGTATGTATGTGTATGTAAGAGCTCCTAAGAGAGCTGAAAATAATTTGCTTCTACAGTAGGTACTAAGAAAGGTGAAAAAATTAGTATCTCAACTTTTTTTGTTGAGATTATTCTGAATTTGATATTCTTTATTTTTCTTTGTAGTTGATAGAATTTGTAATTGTTGTATTTTATTCCCATGTTTACTTTTACTGCTTTATTTTCTTTAGTAATTGATGTGCTCTAATATGGTATCTAGATTGTTGTTTCAGTCATTTCTGATGTTAACGTGTATTCAGAAAAAGGCCACTCTCCCCAGCCTGCCTGCAGGACCACTTGGCCCCTGTGTCGTCCTCCACTTGTGCAAAGGAGCCTTCTCCTTTGGCCTGTTCAGGATGAAGCCAGGTGTGATGATTTGATAATAAGACACATTTGTGAATAAGGTAGAATTTTAATAAATGTATTTACCCTGTATTGGATTAAGTAAAATATAAAGTCAAAGCTCTGAAAAAAGGAATACTTGGGGAGAAAATACTATTATAGTGCAACACTTCCAAATTCGCTTAAAGAATTCAACATATCTAATAGACAAAAATCAATAAAGACATAGTAGAATTCAATAGCATAAAAGGTAAATTTAAATGAATTATATGTACTTTTTCATATGCCTGTGAAACATTTACAAAAACCATTCATGAGTTTGTTCACCTGAAAACCTTAATTTTTAACAAAGTAAAGATTATATACACAATTCTCTGTTAATCAATAAAATTAAACAAAAATAATTCAAAAATTTTATAAAAATGACTTGGAAATTTTAAATACGTAGTCCTGGAAAATCGAAAAGTGAAATTACAATTTTTTAAAGTCACCAAAAAGAAAAACTTTAATAACAAAGATGCTTGGTTTTTGGAAAGCTTATATTCATTAACATAGTTAATAACTTAGTGTTATTAAACAAATAAAGTTGGCTGGCAATCATCTTAAAAATTAAAAGGCTGAGACAGAATCTAGAAAAAATGAATATAGTTTAAGAGGTAATAAAAGTAACTAAGTAGAGAACAAAAAAACACATAGAAGAAAAAATGTTGCCTTTAAAAATACAAAACTGGTAGCTCAGACTTCAGATCAATGGAAAAAGAGAAAAGCAAAAATATTCAAGATTTTTGATGAAGAAGAAATTTAAATTTCAAGGCTAATGACTGAGAGGACCACCACCTGCAACTCCAGAGCAACAGATACGGAAACCTAGGATGATTTCTTAGCAAAATAAAACTGACCAAAACGGCTTTAGGGGCAGGACATTTAAATAAACCCGTTGTTTTGGGTGACCATAGAGGAGGTAGAACAGATGAAGAAGAGTGTGCTTGCGCGGTCCTGGCTGGGCGGCTCGGCTGGTCGGAGGGTCCTGGACACCACACGTTGTTGGGTCGGCGCCCTGGTCAGGGCATGTGTGGTAGGCAGCCAGTGGGTATTTTCCACACCAGTGTGTATCTATCTGTCTGTCCGTCTGTCTATCTCTCTTTCTTTTTCTTCCCACTCTCTCTCTCTCCCCCTTCCTGTCTCTGTATAATCAATTAAAAATAAATCCTCTAGTAAGGATTTAAAAAAGAATAAAGCACTATACAGAAAGCATGTGTAGGTTCCACCTGAATTTTATCTCATCTTTAATATATTTTTTAAAGATTTTACTTATTTTCAGAGAGAGGGGAAGGGAGGGTGAGAGGGTAAGAAACATCAGTTTATTGTCTCTTGCATGTCCTTAAGGGGGGCCTGGCCAGCAATCCAGGCATGTGCCCTGTCAGGGAACTGACCCGGCAACCCTTCAGTTCGAAGGCTGGTGATCAGTCCACAAAGCCACACCAGCCAGGGCTTTAGCTCATCTTTAAAGAACCTGGTAATCCCATTCCTTTAGGAATAAGAAAAGATTGAAAGGTCCCTGTTCATTTTAAATAAAAAACCTAATAACACAAGAAAACAATTATAATTTTATTGCTGGTATTTACCCAAGAGAAGTCGAATTTATGTTTACACAAAGACTTGTGCATGAATGCTCATAGTAGTATCACCTGTAGCCTAAAGATAGGCTACATGCTGGATGTAGCCTGGATGTCTGTCAGTGGGTGAATGAGTCAGCTGTGGTGTATCTATAGATGGATTACTACTCAGCACTAAAAAGGAGCATTCAGACCAGTGCATGGAAAACTTGAATAAATATTAAAAACATGCACAGGTGTGAAAGAATACAGGTAACAAGTGTCTAGTACTATCATTCAGATTTATGACTTTCTGGATAAAGGAGACTATTGAGTCAGCAAAATGACAGAATCTATAAAATGACAGAATCTATAGTATTCTTTCAAGTTTTAAAAATTTTATTATAACTTTGTAACTTTAAATCTCTGATTAGAGTTCCTGAAATTTTGCATTCCAGTCTGGATTGCACCTGGTCTCTTTTCTACATGACTGGTTTCTGTCTCATGCTTGGAGCTTTCTGTCTGGTCTGTCAGCCACCATTCCAGCATTCTTTTAGGACACGCGCCATAACTAAGATGAACATTTCCTTCTTCAAAATACAACTTTCAGAATGTATTCTTTAAAATGAAATGATTATCTGAGGTCTGTTTTGCTCTGAGGTTGCATGAAATGTGTTACACTAGAATGAAACTCTTAATAAATTTTATTTTTAAATTGTTTTTTGTTGCTAGAATTCTCCTGCAGATGTTGGCTTCATGGTTTCTAAGTTGCTTTTGACCATACAGTTATGTCCAAAAACAGAATTTCAGTCCAGTGAAAGATTTGGTGAAGACTTAAGTGACAACACTTGGGAGTACATATTTGCCATTGATCTGCTCTGCTGCCACCAGAAATGGGTTTGGACACATGATAACATTATAAGGTACAGAGCTGTTTTCTAACTTCCAGTGAAGTTGGGTTATTTGAACTGTAGGGCAGTGTATGGAATAGTTGCTGACTTGTGGTTTGAATAATTTTTAAGTCCTGTGTAAGGCAGCTGAAACATTTCCAAATGACATTGTGATCTGGATAAGAGATAATAAAACCACCCTTAAAGGACTTGTGTGGCTATTACATCTCTTCGCTGTATTTTTCTGTGGTACCTGTTACTACTGTTCGTTACAGTCTCTTCCTCCTGTCTCTCCGAAGGAGCAGTGACTCCTGAAGGAGGCCCATTGGTTCACTGGCACACCGCAGCGTGTGGGACCGCACCAGCAAATGTGTAGCATGGAACATAATGACCATTGTGTTAACATACAGACACTCTGGAAAACCCCACATGAACAGGAGTGTTCAGAATTCCGGGTTAACAGCTCTTCTCACGAATTAACTTCTCCCTGTACGTCTAGAATTCTGACACTGGCTATGTAGCATCTTTAGGAAAATGAAGAAGATAGTCAGATTTCTGTTCTGTAGTTCTTAATTTTCTTGGAACTCTGAGGAAAGTTGGTTGGAAGGCCATTATGACATTGTAGGGGATTCACCAAGGAGTGATTGTTCGTATCCTTGAGATACTGGAGGAATTTATTCTATGGAAATTGGTTCCTCTTTTCCCTCCTTACCAGTAGGGAATAATTAGACGTCTAAATGTCAGCAATGGGGAGTTGAATTATATAATGAAATACAGCCATATCGAAAGAGCTATAAGTGGATTTTTAGGTATTGACATGGAAGTATTTCATAGTCTGTTGCTAAGAAACAAACTGAATGAAGTCTATCCATTCCTTCTGTGGAATGATGTGTGAGTGCCTACCTGGGCCTCTCTATTCCGCCAACAGGATGGAGGAGACCATCAGAGATGCTGCCAGTCAGGTGTTTTGTTGAAGGTCCTGCCACAGGTGGTGAGGACAGAGTGTTGAATGTCAGGACATCTGTGGGAGTGACTGCAGACCCTGATTCCTGAACACTGGTTACTTCCACCGTGTTTTTTGCATACACACATGTACAAGTGCATGGAAACGAAGTCCAAAATGAGAAGAGTGAGGATTATCCGAGATGTGTTAGTTGGGGTGCTTTTGGTTTACATTTTTCTTTTGTCTGTCTTCATTTAACTTTTCTAATATAAATACTGTCTAAGAAGTAAACACATTTTTGAAAGAGAACATAGAAAGGAATTGGCACTAATTTTTGAGATTAGAAAGTTTCTTTAATTCATCAAAAGTGTTTTCTTTTTATAATTATTATTTCTGATGGTTTAGTTCTTTTTACAAAACAGCCTGTTTCACCTTGCTCCTCCCATGGAAGCTGTTGGCTCTTAGAACACAGGAGTTGCTTTGATGTCTGAAAGGCCAAAGTGAAAATCAAGATTCCTCTCTTCCAGTTCTGTGACTTGGGGACATTGTTCAGCCTCTATGTGCAAAGTCTTGTAAAAAAAAAAAAAAAAAGTGGAGGGTGGTTAAAACAGAACAAAGATGCAAACATGGGTGTTTGTAGCCTCTTTTAAGTCAGTGTGGGCACAAATGTCCTGAATAGTTGCAGAGTTTGTGAACTTCCAGTGTCTGTTCTCATTTTAATTTAAAAAGTGACACCTTCAGAAATTTCTCTTGATCACTAATTGTCTATCTCTTACCATTTTTTAGATAAGTTCTTAATATTTGGTGATGATGAAGCATGCATACTTTCATATACAAATGGTATCGTTGTTACTTTACAGTAAGGAGCTGTGGCCTGTAATGGACAAGTGGATAAAACACAGAAAAGGACATGCGAACATTGCGTATATTCCTGATGTTATCATAGCATCAATACTGAGGCTGATCGGTGAGTTTCTCCCTGATTAGATTTTTTTCTTGTCATTGATAATATTCTTGGTGAGGGAACGAGTGTATGATAATGTATGTTAACTGAAACTTCACCATAATGATTGATTCTATAATCATTAGAGTAGATACTTTTGCACTTAATACATTCTCCTTACTCATAGTCTTTCATTGTAAACAATTGTTTTTATCCATCTTTGTCAGAGATAAAGGTTTTTAATGTTAGAACATTTTATTTATAATTGAACTGTTGCTTCTAAAATACTAATATTAATATAAACACATGTACACACTTGAATATACACACCAGAATAAATAAATTGCTATAAATTGTACTGTATATTCATTTGGTTTCTAAAATAAGGCTATTTCTCCTATTGTTTTCACACCGTATTTTTTTCATACTTGCCTGGTAAGGATCTCTTTGTGTACTTCCATAACTGGGGACTAGCTTTGTTGTTCTCTAGGCTGAATATACAGAAATTAAGCCATCGTTTAAATGGGACACACTCTTTCATCTCAGATCTAATAAGGAGGAACCTCAGTGAGCATTTGGTTCTTTTTCTCCCTAAAACTCATCTTTATTTTAAAGTTTTACCTTTTTTTTTTTTGCTTCTCTAGCTGCTCTCTAGGCTCTGCAGAATCATTAGAGATGAGGTCTGTTCGTTATTAGCAGGTTCTGTACTTCAGTTGACTTCTCTCTGCAGCCTACATTCATGCCTCCTGAGCACACAACACAGGGTTCATCTGACTTCTGCCTTAAGGCCCCTAGGTACTTGGTGATAGTTACCATGATTTTTAGGTTTCTTTGGAGTTTATGTAATTAAAGCTTCAAGATAATACCATTTGAAGTAAAGTTCGAGAATATTTATGTAAGTCTTATAAATAGATCACAGTAGGAAATGTACTATCTCTGACTGGTTTTGTTACTGTTTCAGCAAATATGCATTTCTACTTTGTGTATATTTTACATTGAGACATAGGAACATGGTGCTAAATAAATAAAAAATGATTTACAACAACAACCTAGTTACAAGGTAGACATCCAGTTTTCACTTGTAAGTAAGTTATTAAATAAGACAGTGTGAGAATCAAAGGCTTGCTGAAGACTTTTTTGGAATTAGAAGGTGAAGGCACAAAAGTTGAAATGAATAAACTGCTCAGTGAATTAATGTCTCAAAACACATTTGCTGGACTCCTCAGTTCGAGAGACCCTGGAGGACAGTGTCAGTCCCAGGTGGGCAGCCGTGGGGCACAGAGGAGCCCCTGGCGGTGTTGGCAGCAGTCCGGGCGTCGGGGAATTCTGGTGGCAGCGGCACCTTCTCTTGTGGATTCAAGAATGTTCTCACTTTGAGAACATTAATTTAATTCATCTTAAATTACAAAACCTTTCTGAGAATTTTAGAAATTAGGAGAGATGTTAAGTCTATAATACATATGTTGACCAAGGTGAAGTATCTGTAGAACTTTCAAAGGAACGTGGTGCTTCTTGAAGTCCCACTTACAAAATACGACATGGGTTTTCCAGTACTCTCGGGGTGGTTGTGTGTTTGTGTACTCGTTGATTGTAACGAGAGGACATGAGCGGAGGCCCGTGTTTCTGGTGGTCGGCCGTTTTACTGCATGGAAGCAGCTTCTCTCCGGTCGCTCTGGCAGAGGGTCAGCCCCACATGTGGTTCTCTCCTTCAGGGGGCTTGTGTGAATCTGTACTTATCAGGTTTGGCTGATTGTCCAAATTGCCTGAGAAGCTTTTTTAGAATACAGATTTTCTGGCTGCACACATAACTGCACAAGATTATGTAAATATTTTCAATTATATATCTTAAAAGGTAACCTACATGAGAATTAAGAAGACTGTGTCGGTAGTTTATCAAAAAGTTAGAGTATATAATTGTGGGGAGAAAAACCTGACTTGTAGTTTTAGTCAAACTCAGACTAGTTTATTCTTTTGAATCACTAAATGCTGGCTTTTGAGAAAATAATTTGTAAAATCTAGTAATATGTGTTATTTAGAGTAATATATATAATTACATAATTAAGAGTTGCATATATTTAATACACATATATATGAGAATTATTGGTAGTGTATAAATATAAGCATGTGGTTCAAAGGATGGATAAATAGAAAGGAAGTGTAGTGCATAAAATAAGAGTAGAATCAGGACTAGTGAATCCTGCTTAGGCCTGCAGGTGGACCAGAGCACACTTAATGTGACTGAGAAAAACGGGTGTGGAGAGGGCTAGAGGGACAGCTGGGTTGTTCTAGTTGTGGCTAAGCTTTGCTTACCCTGGTTATCTGTTGGCATTGAAGGCTGACCCCAGACAAAGCAGTTGGTAGGTGCTGAGAGCATAGTGTTGGGCAAACGGCTGAGGGGAAGGGCTAACACAGGTGAGGCAAACTCTTTAGACCTGGTGGAGGGAGTCTTGAGACGCGGTGTGAGGGTCGGATGTATGTGTACCCTTCCGCACGTGCCTAATTAACTTGGAATTTGAACTGATTCTAAGGAGAAAGTTCTAGAGAACCTCTGGTCTTGGAGTTTCTGAAGCCAACATTAACAGAAGAATTTAGTGAATAATTTAGTTAGTAGACCATGATTTAATAATATCAACAAGTCACACTGATTATTCATAAAATAAAAAAATTGTATCGTCCTCCCATCTAAGTTCTTTCTAGCTGAAACCACTCCTAAATTCCCTTTATTTATTGTGACGTCACTGAGAAACTAAAGTATCACCTATCACCTGTATGTGCGAGTAAAAGAGATGACTGTTCCTTCTGATCACTCCTGTAAGACAAATGTCATTTTATCGAGTTCTGATCCATTACTATTTAACCTGTTTTCACTTAAGAATAGGGTCCCATTTAAACTTCAGTTCAAGGTCATTAAACCTAATGTACATAATCTTTTAAGAAAGAACAACTTTTAAATTCTTATGAAAGCTTAATCTACATTTAACCAAAGATTATTTAGATTTTGTTTTATTTTTATTTTCTCCTAGGTCGTTTAGGTCAGCTGGGTTTGAAGGAAGGGTTTCCATCTGCTGTGAAAAATATTAGTTCGGTTATTGGTATGTTCATACAGCATGCCCAGGACGAAGGTAACACTTCTGGTCACGAACCACTGCATGCCTCTCACTGAACCTGACTGCGTGCTCACTGGGGCTGGGCGCCGGCCCCGCCCCTCTCACTGCAGGGCAGCTGAGGAGGTCAGGGCGGTTTGCACAGCTGCAGTGTAGCTGCACTTGGCATTGGCATTTCATTCAGAGTCCCAGCCCTTTACATAGCGCCGCGCCTTCCTGCTTATTGAAATTGTTTTTTTTTAATCACTGTGTTTCTTCTGTCTTTAGACTTTTTTTTTAAATATCTTTCTATGATCCCCACTCTATTTCTGTAATTGCTTTGTAGATTAGGAAGTAATTTTAAAGCTGCAGTACTATCTACATTTTCAGCATTAACATGTGAATGTGTGGGTTTTGTGATTTTTTTGTGTATTTTAGATAGTAGCAGTTTTCCCTTTTGGGCATCAGTCCCATCCATGATAGAAATATGAAATATATAGTTAATAATAAATTTTAATGAAGTAACTCCTGAATTTTTCACCTAAAGTCTTTCAGTGAAATAGACTTTAGCTAAAATTATATAAATTAAATTGCAATTAAATAACTTCTAAATAAACTTACGTTAAATGAGAACTCTGATATACCATAACCTATAACCTAGCTGTAATTTGTAATTATATGGTATAATTTATAATCATATACTATAAGCCGGTATAGGAAAGCATGGTATGAGGTAGTTTTTCATTTGTTCTCATTTCACTATGTTTTTCATTTCCAAAGTCCCTACATAAACACTTCCAGTGGATATTAAATGGAGTCATTTATTTGATGAATGCTTTGGGATTCACATTTGCTTAAAAGATAAACATTGGAGTCTCATGCTGCCAGAATTGCTTTGGAAAGCACAGCCAGTGTTGGTGGTGCGAGGGCAGGCGCTGTGTGGCCAGTGCTGGGCCCCCAGCAGCACACCGGCCGTTCTCGGCACCCTGGCCAGCCCTGGGAACCTGCACAGAGCTGCTTTTGTTCTCTTTTTTCCCTGCTTGTAGACAGGTCTTAATTTTTTCATTATGGGTCTTGTCTTTTATATTTAGTTTTCATTGCTGGCAGAAAGTATTCTGTTTTTGAATAATATTCAGTAGAGCACACCATTAAATTTTGGAATAACAGCTGTGTTTTTATATGATGATGGATGTGAAAATTCTTTTCAGATATACCATGGGGTATACAACTAGCAGCCGTGTATGCCCTTTGTGACTTGAGCCCCAGCAATCCAGCAGAGATATCCAAGATCCTGGAAGCTTGGCGCAAAGACACCTCGCACAGCGTGCCCTCTGCAGTGGTCAGCTCCCTGGAGGAAGTCAGTGCGTTGTGTGCAGGGGAGCTCGGCTAAACCGCCGCCCGCCACTGCACCTAGAGAAGTGCCTTCACGTATCTTGAGTATAAACAGATTAATGAGCTTTCCGAATGTAAACGAAGGTTTCACAGGAAAGATGCAGAAGAGAAAACGCCAAGAGGCTCTCCTCACTGTGTGGCAAGGAGACAGGAGAAATGCCCAGCCGCACAGCCGTGTTTCCCAAACCACATGCTTAAGTCACGTAAGGCTGTTGTGAGTACATGGCATGTGGATTGTGTTGCGTCCTGGTCAAACAACAAAAACTTGAATTTAGCCCTTTTTGCTGCAGAAAGTGTCCTTTCAGTCGCTTTTTGAGTGGCATTTTATAATGAATTTAATATGAAAGCATTGATTTGGTTCCTGAGTTAATTCTGGCCTTTGTGCCCAAATGACTGACGAGGAAAAACTGTACTGGCTGAAAAAGAACTAGAAGACTCTTCCAGGATCTCAGCTGGAAGTGGGCTACAGAAGTTTTTCTCAAGGTGCAGTGTGCAGCTGATCCACGTGAACACGGGGGAGCCTCTAGAAACTCACTGTGATGCGTTTTCTTTGCAGGAGTTTCCTAACGAAGTTCTTGAACCTGGTTAACTCTCTGTCAGGGGAAGGAGAGTGAGGAGCAAAAGGCTCTGCAGGCCCTGCCCCCACAGCAGGGTGGGCTGCTGTGGACTCGGAGGCGGGCGCTCAGAGTCCCCCGCCGCCGGCCTGCGGACAGCGCTGCGCGATGATGTGTGTCACATTTGATGATGTTCCGCTTTCGGAATTTTAGTATTTGTACAGAGGGAAGGGGTTCAACAGCTGTCCGTGGTTCTGATTTGTCTTATATTCATCATTTCCTAAATCTCTTGTATGTGTTTTTTTTTATAATAAAAAATAAAAGGAAGCCATGTACATTGTTCTGATCAGTAAAGGTGATGCTTGGTGCCGCTTCCATTTTCACTGCAGATGGGAGAAGGCAGCCATTCCAAAGGAGACTCCACCTCAGGGTAGACCCACGCTGCTTTGCCGGCGTTTCACCTTCTGAGTTTTCTCAGAGGTGCTCTTGGTGATCTCGGATGCCAGATAATTAAGTGTTGATCAGCTCTTATGATTGGATGTTTGTTGAGTTACAGTTGCTGCCCTTTTCAAATTATATTTGACAAGTATTTTACTCCTTTGTGTTTGTAAAGTAATTGTAGCAAAAAGCTGAGATGTACGAACAACTCTGTGTAACCCCTTGGAAGCTTTTGGTTGGTGTGTCCATCCAGTGTTCACTGAGCACGTGCTCTGCACTGGTGCCTCACGCAGAGGAGCTGGTGAGCAGGCCACCAGCAGCAGGGCTCTGAAGACCTCTGGTCTGTTAGTAGAGAAAAACCGTAAGCAATTACCCCAGGAAATCAGCACTTGAAAATTTTGGTGAGTTCAGTGAGAAAATGTGGAGACTTGCAGTAGAACAATAGAGTAGTAGATGCTGCTCTTTCTAGGTGTTAATCGAGGAGGGGCCCTCTGAGGAGGTCAGGAGCGGAGCCAGGAGCGGAGAAAAGGAAGCCAGCTTTGAGAGTAGGGGACACGCGTCCCTCCCGGAAAGGTAAGTGAGACTTTTAGAAGGAAAGAGCCTTTCGTGTGCGAGAACATGGCTGACTGATACAGCCAGAACATACCGTTCAAGTGTCGTTTGTCTGATGGTACAGATTATGCCAGTTCCTGGGACTGAGGCAGCCGTGGGCTTGTTCACAGATTGAGCAGAGATGTCATATGAGATTACAGTTCACTGGGGCTGCTCTGTGGCAAAGGGGTGTGAGAAGGGCAAGGGGCGAAGCAGAGGGACCTGTCAGGAGGTGGGGGGAGATAATGGTGTTACATGAATTTCATGTGTCTCTTGGAGGTAGGATCAATGCTAAGTTCCTGAACTTGGATGAGGGACAGGTAGGAATCAAGAGCCAAGGTTGCTGAGTTGGGTTCCATGGGGTAGGTACAGGTGCACAGGTTGGTGGTAGGAAACAAAAATGCTAGGTGCTGGTTTGGGACTTGGACATTGTAAGACATCCAGGTGGAGGTGACAGGCAGCCTTTACAGGTCACTTTGGAGTACAGACAAGATGGGGCAGAAGTTAGGAAGCCGATAATGTTTGGAGGCTATTTAAAGTGCCGTGTGTGTGTGTGTGTGTGTGTGTGCACGCACACACACACACAAGGGGGGGGTGAGTGTGTTTGCCTAGGAAGAAAAGTATAGTAACTTCCCAGAGGGCAGCGGAGGAAACAGCGTTAGGGCAGGAGGCAGTGGTCTGGTAGTACCCTGGCGGCTGTGTCCTTGCCAGAGCCAAAAAGGTAGTAGGCCTTAGTTATGCTTGAAGCTGCGAGGTCAGGTGAGGTAAGCCTGCCAGGTGATGGCTGTGTTTTGCATCCTGTGGATGTGGTGACCTCACTGAGCATCTCCCATAAGTTGGCCTAGGGGGTGCAAAGTGAAGGGGAAGTCAGGAAGAGCAAAGCAGGTCAGCAGACAGGTTTTAGAAAATTTGCCTAGTGGATGGATTTGTCAAAACTTCAAAGTATTTTTTTAGCCTCAGCAGTTTTATTTGGTTTTGGTGGAAGATAGGTAACACCTGAAATTTTCTATTGGTTGCCGTTCTTTGGACCCTTTGGTGTGTGGAATTTGTTGTCATCTGCTGTGTTTTGTGACCTGATGATAAATAGGCCTGAACTCGCCTTTGGCACTGTCATTCTCAGAGGGTGAAGCAGTTTTAAGCTGTTCATAAATTGAATTCTTAGTATTCAAGCAGAACATGATGGGGTTTTCTCATTTAAAAAAATTGTGGATAAGCATTCGGACCTGGAGTTGGGCGCTGCTTTGGCTAGCATAGAGGTCTGTGCACCAGGAAGCACGGGGGTTCTCAGGCCAGCTGTGGTCTGACCACGCGTGGTGGTAACAGCCCAGGAGCCTGAAGAACTGTTCAGAGTGAGGCAGTGGCTCTGAGGGAGAACAATGGACATGTGGTCAGTGATCTTCATAGACATTTGAACCCTTTCCCCATGCATGTTCCCAGGGTGTCTGACTTTTCTTCTGAGCAGAGTTGGCCTGTAGAAGGTACTTCATGCTGTAATTTCCCACCCTGAAGCAGCTTGTGTGACATCTCTTACTTTGTTAAGAGAGGATGTAACGGAGCAGAATCTGCTTTTGGGGGTGGGAAGAGCTTCTCCGTTGCCATTAGAGGGCACTGCAGACTCACCCGTGAACCAGAGTGGCCAGAAAAGGGTGCACACACCTAGATGCACAGTTTACAACCTGAGAGCCTTGCTGTCAGGGAGCCGTTTCCATTTATACTTTGGGTATTTAGTGAAGTCAGTGCCACCATCTTGGCCCAGTATCTCCAGAAGTAAATGCTAAAGGATAGCATATCAAATAATAGTGTTTGAGAGAATATGCCCCACACCCCCCTAAAAAAGAAATACTCTGCCTATTTGTTCAGATTCTTTCCTGGATATTCAGTGAACCTAAAGCAAAATACTTTCACCAGAAAACCAGCAGTGGCACGTGGGTAAGTGATACTGGGAGGGAAGCCCGTGTGAGCACTGTGACTGGCATGTGCTAGAGCAGTGAAATCATCCTGCCTGCATTGAACACACTCAGTTCTTCACAGGTGCCATTTCCAGCACATTCTCCTGTAGAATCATATTATGAAGAATCTGTAGTGTGAATCTAGCTTATAAATGTGAGTTCAATCAACCTAAGACTACAGATGCAAGAAAGGGTTCACTGAGGAGTGTGTGAGCAATTTAGGGGAGTTTGGGCGTTTTGAAGGTAAGGCAGCCGTAAACAGTTGTCCGCTTGCTGGATATCTGCTTAGAAAAATTTATTGTTCTCAGTTTTCATTGTGAAACAAACAGGAAGTTCTGTTTCCTGCCCCTGGGGAGCATTTTAAGGAAGACATACTTTTATACCATGTCATTACTGTCTTAATAAGCTGTGTGTGTGTGTGTGTGTGTGTGTGTGTGTGTGTGTGTGTGTGTGCAGCTCAGTTAAAGTGTTCCATGTAAACAAAGAATTGTGGGCAAGTTGTCATTGAGAGATGCTACAACTAAATTTTATGAAGATGAAAATGTCTGCTTGCTTTTATGGACTTTGGGTTTTTGTGAACGATGTTTGGACCTTGGGGGGGCCCTGCTTGGGCTTCCCCTGCCTCCCAGTCTCCTTTGAGCCAGGGTTTACACTTGGGGCCAGGTGAGCCTCTGATTTCCCTGCTGGGAAAGGTGGTGCTGCCCAGCACCCCCCCGCAAGGGGCTCTGTGCCCAAGGGGATGAGGGCAGGGAGGCCTGGCTGGGTGGTCCCCAGACCAGCATTTCTCAAAGGGCACGTGCACTCTCCGCAGACCCACCGAATTCCAACCTGGAAGTCTGGTGTCGTGTAGGGAGCCCCCAGCAGTTGGGGAGCCTGAGAGCTGCTGCCACCCTGTTCTGCCTGGGCACCTGCCCCCTGCTCCAGGCTCTGCCCCCCCAGCCACTCCTCACAAAGGGTCTCCCATTGCCCTCCCCACCCCTTCTCTGTTAATTTCAGTGGCAATTTGGGAGAAAGTGAGGGAGGGCTTGGTAACTGCCTCCCACCGTCTCATACTGAATCTAGTCCCTGTTTTTACTTCTTTGGTGTGTTGTCTTTAAGAATATTTTTTTTCTTAACAAATAGTCATTAATTGCTGCTCTGAGGAAATATCACCCTGAATCATGAGTGTACAACTGGCAAAACTCGAGAGAACAGGGTGACGAATTGCACACCCTGAACCCAGCACACCTTTGGCACTCAGTAACTGCCCCTCTTGATTGTCATGATTTTATATGTAAATTTGTATTATTACATATTCATTTTAATAGTTTAAATTGTAATCCAATGTATTTTATTACCTAATCTTTTCATGTTAATCATGTGTTGTATGCGAGTAGTAAATTAAAAATTAAAACAGGTCGCACACTGGAATGTCAGTCTCCATCCCTGTCACTCAGGTCCTGCTCCCTGGGGCCAGTTGTGTCCAGGCTCTTGGCAGCAGCTTCCGTCTGCCCCACCCCCTCCCCCGTGCAGAGCAGCTTGGGTGGATGGGGATGCTCGCTCCTAGCTCCTGAGGTATCGGGGACAGCAGGCCCACACCCACTCTTCTCCACCCCTTTTAATCCCTGAGGTCAACAAAACATGAGGTGGCTTGTGCTCATCTCCCTTCTCTGCTTCACCTTGCAGTGTGGACTTGGGGCCTACATGCCCACGTTTCCCATCGGAAGTTGTCCCCTAGGGTGGAAACGAGGTGTCCCCTGATGAAGGGAAGGCTTCAGGTTATATGAGGAGCTGAATCATATTTAGCTGTTAAGTGAGTTCCCCTCAGAAGCCGAAAGTGCCAGGAAGTCAAGTGTGGAAGGCTGTCCCTGTGGCCTTGGGGTCCTAGATGCTGGAGGGAGAAGGATGCCTGACCCAGAGTGGTGCTGTGCGCATGCCCCGCACGGGTCTGTCCCCTGCTGGCAGGGCTCACAGTTCTGGACTGAAGGGTTGGCCAGCAGGTGGCGTGTCATGGGGTCTGAGGCCACTTCTCTACACAGCTTTCACCCCATGGCGGCTTGTGTACCTCAGCTCCTAACCCAGGCCTGTTTTATGATTCCCTGAACACCGAAACCTCAAATGAAGTAACCATTCTAATTTTTGAAGAATAATCACATTTAAAGTTTTGTAACAGTTCTGTAAGAAAAAAGCATCTAGTACTGTTTCAGGGGTTGGAGTTTAAAGGCAGTGAATATGTGATTTATGATGAGGCGACCTCAAAGGGATGCCCAACCTTTTGGCATCTCCGGGTCACCCTGGAAGAAGAGTTGTCTTGGGCCACACATCAAATACACAAACAAAAACGAGCAAAAAAAAAAAAAGGTTTTAAGTAAATTTATGATTTTGTGCTGGGCCGCTTGGCGAACACCAGGTAACTGCATCACTATTTTTGTTCCAGACTGTATTTAAGGTCACCTCAACTGTGCAGACTGGTGCAGGGGTCCGCACAATCAAGGTGGCCTTAAATGTAGTGGAAGTTGGCAAAACATTTGCCAAATGGTGAGACCAAAACCAGAGTTCTCTTTCCCAGGGCACCTTTCACGTACAGTAGGGAAAGCCCCACCTTGCCCTGCCCTTCAACCACTAGCAGATAACCAAGATCTCACTTCATATTAATAGAAAATGACAGTCATGTTTACAAATATTTGGACAAAGCAAATCTGATCTCCAGAAACTCCCCATAGAAAGATGGTTGGTAAATAAATTCTCAGTGTTTCTGTGGGGCAATAGGCCTTCTGACCTGTATCCCTCCCTAGATATTGTTTTTGCTGCTTCATTTGCTGGTGGGGGGGGGGGGGCAATGTTTCTGGAGAAAGAGGAAGAAGTTTTCACAGAAAAGGCACCTGGCCTACCAGGGTTTATGCTGCTAAGTGGAGCACCCTGCCAGCCCCCACAGCTGACCTGGGCAGGGGGAAGGTTGGAAGAAGGCTGGGACGGCCATGTGCCTACCAAGCACATGGTGTAAGCCACACTGCAATTTCAGGAAGCTCCAATCAAGAGTTCAGAGGCTGGCACTGTTTGTCTCCAGGTTCTGCTTTGATCTCACCCTGGGGACATTGAGGAAATGAGGAAAGGGATTTCGAGGTGGGGGAGAACCTGCTATTTGTAGGGTGTTAACTTCCTCTAGAATCTTGTTAATGTGGAAATATCTAGAATAGCAAGAGTTGGGATCCCTTGTGGCAGGACTCTAGGGTAAGGTCTATTCTGGAGCTGTGTGATCAGCTGCTGGAGAAAACACAATCCTGGTCCCCACCTTAAAATGCAGAAGGAAGTGCATTATAAAAGGTCAGGAGCATCTTTTGCAGGTTAGCTTTCAGAATGCAAATTTCACAGTGACACATTCAAGAAGCAAGGGTACTGGGGAGCCTTGTTCGCGGAACACAGGAAAGCGTGACACGCACAGTCCGTGCAGGGTACTCACGTCCCCACTCTGGCTCTGCCACTGTGAATGCCTGCCACGGAGGGCCAGCTTTTATCTGCATATAGAAAATCTGTTTGTTCAGTTGGCAGTGGAGCAGAAAATAGAATTGGTAAGACACTCACTCTTGACCTTTCCCACTTTGTATTTTTTAAGAGAATGGAATTTAACTCCAATCATCTTG